CAAAATAGCCACAGAGTAACACATCATAACCACGTAAGACATAAAATCACTACAAGGAACATAAATTAACCACCGAGGGATTCTAATATGATCCAAAGGAGATGCAAAATAAATACAAGACACAGAAGAGCCACCGAGAGACACAAAATGTCTGTTAAGGTGCTACAAAGAGACAAAACAGGAACATCACTGCAACCAACAGACCCAAAACACACATCAGAGAAACACAAAACAACCACAAAGAGATGTGAAACTGCTGCAGAGAAACACAAAACAATCCCAAAGAGACAGAAACACAACATGACAAGACACAAAATGACAAACTGAATGGATATAGAGATGCTCGATGACCGCACGGGGACAAGGTGAAATATAACTAAACAATGACATGTGTGTAATTTGACTTTAGAGCATTGACACATTTCACTATCAATAATTCTGTCAATAACATTTATGTTAGGAAATGGAACAGTTTCAGTTTACAAAGATATAAAAAGAGGAAGATGGAAATGGACAGGAGAAGACTTGTTTTTATCTGAAATCATTAAAATGCTGGTTCCACATAAATGCATCAATAATAAGAAGGAGAATGTCATGAGATAAAGCTAAAAGGAGGAATTGTGCAACTTTTACTGCTGATGCTTTAAATACAATACGCTGACGACACTTTTATTTCCAAGTCAGATTTCGGATACCACACTTTTAACATGTGATGTATTTCACAGTGTCGCGTTTCTCTTTTTGCTTCAGTCATCGTCTGAACACTCGTTCCAGACTTTTACACAACGAGAAACTTTTGTGTTCTGTTTGCACTTTAGTGGAAGACCGTCCTGAAATAATAAGACGGGCGTTTGTCCTCTCTGTGCGGCTGCTGCTGCTGCTGAAGGCACAGATAGGTGCTAGGATCTAAAGTTAACTCGCTGTAAATCACACACACATGTGCACACTCTCACACACACACACACACACACACACACAAGACAACATGTGTGCCCATGCATGCCTTGACTTTAGCTTTTTGTTGGTCTCAGCCGGCCTCCCACCTGGTTTCTCTCTCCTCTGTCCACTGTTACAGAGAAAGTGAGTCTAAACTTATAATTGAGGCAGAGTGGGATGCAGAGATAGAGTGTGTGTGTGTGTGTGTGTGTGTGTGTGTGTCTGAGCTGCAGGAATTGTAACGGGGCAGCAGTGTTGGTAATGGCTGGTCAGCTGGTATGGCGAGTATTCAGGGCGGGGGTGGTGCATTGTCCTCTCATAGCTCCAACAATGCCCCTCTGAGCAGGCCACACATCTACCAGTCACGGGCCTCCCTCTCTCGCTCTCGGCCCCTGTCTCTGCTTTTCTTTCTGTCTGCCATATTTATTCAGCCCACAGTCGAGTGTAAAGTGAGATGTGAGCCGTGGCAGCGCTCCTGACCTTTTGGCTCCAACCTCAAGGTCGACCGGTAACCTCAGTTCATGTTAGAGCACCTGTCATTCATCCGCTCACCGTGAAGACGCTGCACTTTGTGTTCATTATCAGCCTGAATAATTCATTCACTCCTCATATATTCATCACTGCAGGTTCTTTGGGAATAAGTAACGAGCATTTGTCACATTCTGCATGCATTGTTTTTTAATTAATCACCTAATGTTCTCCATTCACACGTCTATTTACTCATAAAGAGTCAAAAACCCACTTTAGCACTTTAAAAGTCATGTGATGAATCAATTTATCAATTAACAGATGATTAATCAGTGATCATTTTGAATATTGATCAAAGAAGTTGACATTTTTCTATGATGCTTTTAACGATCATGAATTTCTTTGGGTACAAGATCGTTGGTTGGACAAAACAACCAAACCAGAGAAATGACTGTGAACGTGTGATGGACACTTTTCATTAATGATGTTTGAACAATCAATCAATTAATGATTAACGACCAATATTTGTGTTGATTGTTCCAGTTACAATCTGTTCTGTTTAGATATTAGAGGGAGGATTGTGAAGCTCATCATCAGTGTCAGTTAGATGTTTTCAATGTGTGTGTCTACACCATCACAACACACAACACATGCATTTACATTAATGCAGTAGTTTCGTGTGTGTTTCCTTTTGATTATTCTGATCAAGACTTGGTAATAAATGTTCTTTGAAGGTTTCCAAAGGGGAGAACACCCCTGTTACATTATCGACGGTGGGAAGACACCCTCTTATGGACGTGTCGTGTAACTGAAGATGATCCAGAGGACGTCAGTGGTCTGATGTTTTGATGCATGTCACCGAGTTTGCCAAAGGCACAGAGGAAGTTTGGAAAATGTTTGGAGTCTAAATAAATTCCATCTGCAGAGAGTAAAAGTTGAGCTGTAAGCAGAGGGAGTGTCAGAGAGAGTTTAACGGTGAATCAGCTGGGGAGAGTTTCAGGGCAGGGCAGAAGGAAAAAAGGATTTTGCATTTGGAGAATGTCAAGAAAACATCAGAACTGTATCAGAGGTTTGTTATTTAATTTTCTTCATTAAGAATACGGTCAAAATGTTGAGAATAAACCTGAAATGCAAAGATTAGAGTTAAACTTTTAGGAATATATCAAACTTCTTAAGTCAGTGAGCATATGACTTGATGTTCCCCAGTGTTTTATTAAAATGGATAATTCTTTATCTTTGTTAATTAGTGATAAGACGTTGAAGAGATTTAGCAAGAAACAAAATGTTCAGAGGGAGAAACCACAAAGGCTCATTCAGCTGTCAGGTGATCAACATTTCAACTTTACTCTCAAAATACAAGAAGAAAAAAACCCTCTTCCTCTTTCTTTCACTGTGTTTGGACCTAATATTGTTCCATACTAACCTTCCATAAGATTATCACTATGGGAGATGATTAATTAAGTAGATTCACACACACTCAGTGTGATTCTCACTTTGTTTCCTGCAGTTACCAACAGAGAGCAGCAGAATGCAGTCGACACACAGGAGGACGTCTGCAGCTTATTAGTGTTTCTACAGTTTGGGAGTTGTCTCTATGGGAGCAGCTCTGTGTATATATACACAAATAAAAGTATGCAGTATATAAAGTATCGTACAAATGCTAATTAAAGTACTGGTATTTCATATTGTATAATATTCACTGTTTATATGTGAAAGTCTACGATAATCACATAATATTACAGGTAGTAACATTGAGTACTTTTAATTTTGAAACTACTTTATGATTTTGAATGCAGGACTTTTTACTTGTATTCAAGTAATTAAATATTGTGGTATTGGTACTTTTACTTCACAGTGTCTAAACATCTTCTTACTCCCCAGTTTGCACATATTAAACATTATTTGTGAAAACTATCTTGAGTCCTGCTGTGATCTTTACTTTCTCCTCTCTGTCTGTCTGTCTGTCTCTGTCTGTCTGTCTCTCTGTCTCTCTCTGTCTATCTGTCTGTGGTCTGTGTGACGTGAGTCCTGCAGTAGGACATCACCTGCTCACCTGGCTGAGGGGTTCATGCTAATCTAAAGCCGATTAGGCTTCTTATCTGCTCAGCGCCGGTTATGTGCTTTGGTCCAACAAAAATACCGCACAGAGTTGGCCTCTTTACCGTTCCCACTGACTCTCTGCAGCTTCACCCCCCCACATCATCTGCCTTCTGAGCCACATTGACTTTGATAACATGGCTCCTTATTCCTCTTTTCTTTTTTTAAAGAAGACTGTGCTTCAGTAGAATTGAAAAACTGGGCCTCATGGTTACTTTTAATCAAAATTACTTGAAATATCTGAGGTTGAAGATCATTTTACGACAGAAATTCAATTCCAGAGAAGCTTTTACCCAGAAAAGTCACTTACAAATTTAGTACATGCACTATTTAGTTTGTGTAACCCCCTTCACCGAGCAAAACACACACAGACACACACATACGTCCTTACACTAGACATGTGAAGAGTCATCCCATGTCCATGTGAAAGCAGTAATGCCTTAATTGTCCTTATCCTATTGACTTAATCAGGAACCCTGCGGCCCTCACAGCACGCCTCGCCGCTCCATCTCAGGTCTGTGCAGCTCAAGGTCGAGACACCATGACGTCATTATTCCAGTGTCAGATCACATCTCTAAAATCCTTTATTCATGTACACAGTCAGCATGATCTCTGCTCTACACAGAAAAAGAAAAACCATATGGAAAAAAGAAACTTTACATGGATTTAAATAAAAGCTTTAGCTTAATTAGGTCATGTTTTTTATAAAAGTTAAATTTTTATCGTCATTTCTACACTATGTACAAAGACAGCAACCCGGTTGTTAGAATATACATACATATGTGTCAATATACAGAGAGTAAAAGCACAGGGGAAACGTCAGAGAGGGTGTGAGATTACATGACAGGGGTGAAGAGCCCAGATTTAGCTGCCAATTTGAGTCGTCCTCTGCGGGTTCAGAGTTTCCCCTGCTGCTCTCTGAAGCTCGCCTCCTGACGCCCATCCCTCCCTCTTCCACCACTGCGCCTAAACATCCACGCAAAACTCACACTGATTCCTTCAATTTATAATTTTTACTCCGTCCCAGAAGCTTTTCCAGTCGTCATCCTGGACAGATGTGGACTGGAGGGTTTGTCTGGAGACTTTGTCTGTTTACGGTATCAGCTACACGCCAAAAACACGTCAAAAACACACAGACCCACCAATGAAAATAACACGCTGCGTTTCTTTGGGCTGGACGTATCTTCCCTCTGCACCTCTGGCTTCATGACAGGGGGGAGGCTGCATGGCAACTACCATCCCCAACAAACTATTCAACAACAACCCAAAGGAAATATTACTTCCGTATTAGAGCCCGACAGATTTCACATGAAATATTGATCGATTTGAGTATTTCACAAACATATTGGTATATCTGCGTTTATGTTTGCTGATGTGAAAACTTTTATCCTACAGGACAAACAATGCAGAGAAGATGTGCATGCATATATATATATATATATATATATATATATATATATATATATATATATATATTTGGTTGCAGTTGTGTTTTCCTTTTATTTATAGTTATTTATATTAACGTGTAAAATATCATGCCTCAATTCCATTTTGCTCTGATAAGAGTCTGTTAACACCACCTTCAATTCCTCTTTAAATATTTGATATCAGTATCAGCCCCAAAGATTCCTATCAGTCGGGCTCTAATGCTCACACACAGTCCGTATTTACTTGACTTGTCCATTTGCACCTTTTTTTTTTTTTTTTGGAAAAACCAATAAATCCAAATCCACAGAACATCAGACACCAAAACTGAAAACCTCTTGAATAGATTGCTGTGAAGCAAAAGACAGAGCTTGTTTAATTGGGGCAAAATCAAAAACACAACTCGATCTACTCGTGATCTCCCTCTACGTTTGGATATACAGTATTTTATCAATGCCAGTCCATTTGTAAAGGAATCCGTTTAAAAGGAGTTCAAAGCCAAATGTGTGTGTGGGTAGTGTCTATATAATAATAAATGTTGGTAGAAAAAAGATCTCACACGTCCCCTCGCTCTCCTCTTCCGGTGGAAGTGGTGTCAGTTTTTGCAGGAGGGGCTCGCTCAGCTTTCCGCTGGTGCGTCGCCGCCCTCCTCCACCTTGCCTCCTTTGCCCATGGCCTTCATGTTGGCCATGATATCGGTGAACGTCTCCTTCACCGTCTTCTCCAGGATCCAGCCCTCGCTCTCGCTCTCTGGGTCCTCCGGGTTGGCCAGGGTGGACAGGGAGCTGTTGACGTACTGCAGACCCACAGTCACGGCAACCTGCAAAGGATGAGAACACAAATCAGATAGATTCAGATGTGGGCCTTCAGAAATCACTGTGTCACCTTCTGAGCTACGATAAGTTTGTGGGGGTAATTTGACCTCATTCAGATGCTAGTCGACAGAATGATTCATGAATCATTCAAAAACATGGCAGATAATGAAAATGATTCTTAGTTACAGCCTTATTTTGAAAATCCTTCAGGTAGTGCGTCACAAAGAGATAAGAGAGAGAGAGAGAGAGAGAGAGAGAGATATTTTTGGAAAAAAGTCAGTTCAGGAGATCCAGCTCCAGGAAGTGGGTCTGTCCTTGTCACAGATAACTATATCTCTGAGAATCTGTGTCAGTAAACAGACGCTTGTGTAACTATTCTTAAATCGAGGATTCCTCAGACTGTTTGTCTGATCAGCTTCCATACATCACCTCAATCCAAGTTTTTAGAGCAAGGGTTTGTCTGCAGGATTTCTGGTATAGTGGCATTATCTAAACTGTCCTATTTAACGAGGTGAGACAGGAATTCAAACCTCTCATCTCAACAACAACAACAACAACAACAACAGATGTTGGCAGAGAGGGCCACAGGGAGCAGAGAGGCCATTTGGCTGCTGCAGAATAACAGGATGGGTAGAAAGTATCAGGTGAGCGGCTGTTGTTAAGCTGCACACCCATACATGCCAGAGGTGGCACAGGGTAACCTGAGAGTAGGGCAGGAGCAACCTAGTCAGGTAAAGAGGATAAGAGTTGTTTGGGAAGGAGATGCTGTAAGTGGATAGAGACAACAGCGGGGGGTTGGAACGTGGAGAGGAGAAGAAAAGAAGGAAGCGATGGACGATGCCGATGCCAACTGGGTCGAGGCTTTACATGTTTGTTCACATCACTTCTGGCTTCTGCTTAAAACGGTTTTGCTTCTTGTTTTTCTGCAGACTGATGCTTGTGTTTCCACAAAGATGGGGAAAGCATCCATCTGCTCAAATTTTAAAGGTAATCTCGGTGATATCGAAACTAATCATGAAGTGAGATGTGGAAGCTGAGATTTTTCAATCAAGGGGTAGACGTGTGGTCAGTAGTGACTTTACACAAAGACAAATTTTGCATTAGTGATGTTTCTTGGGAGCCTCGACGTTAAATGGTTAAGAATTGGATTCATAAATGTGACTGTTTATGAAAGATAGAGAACATGTAAAATCTACACAGAAAAAATAATTATAAATGTCAGATAAAGGTGAAGAATCTAAAGTTTGGATTTGGATTGAAATAGCATCATTGGTATCATTTAGACTTCTGGTTAACTGCCCCGCTGATAAATGGCTTTTCTTAGAAGCCACCAAACTTTTTGTCATCTGCGTTTAAGTTTGCAGTATTTCTCATAAACTACCGGACAGATTACCATGAAGGTTCACAGAATGAGGCTGCATGGATCAGGTCAAAGCACAGATCCAAAAAAATTTTCTTTAACGTTGTGAGATGCTACTTTTTTGACATTTTCACCAAATTTCCAGAAAAATACTTCATGGGCCCAGATGAATAAAAAAAGCATATTTAAGGGACTATGTCCAATTCTTTGGGCTTGTAACTTTAACTAAACAGTTAGAAGTGAGGAGGATATTTATCACATTTACATGAAGTCTTCTCTATTGTGTTTGTGCTTCTGTGGGTCTGACCTCCAGCATAGTGATCAGCAACACTAAGGCTCCGATGGTGTTCATCAAGCCGCCGTAGTAGGACAGCAGAGCGTCACTGCAGCCACGCTTCCACACATTGAGCTCCTCGGTGTAGTGGTCGTAGCTGTAGTAGGCAGAGTTGTTGGTCATCTGCAGCTGGATGCAGGGTCTCGGGGAGCTGGGGTTACAGCAGCTGAAGGGGACTCCGTCCATCAGGTACTGGCCGTCCACATTGCTGCTGATGCGGCTGAGAGGAATGAAGCAGTGTCATGTTATGATGGGCTGGAGGTGGTCGTGAGGTCAGGTTAGAGGTCAGGAGCTTATTAGTCAGTCGTGTGAGCTAAAATTACTTGAAGTATAATTAGACGGGCCAAGTTCGACTTATTTTCAACTAAAAATAACCAATAATAAGTTTGATTATGCAACTATGCAATCCAATACAGATATTATTACCACAACAATAAAGAACCTTTTATCAACACATCATCGGTTGGGAAGTTAAGCAAAGATCAAATATTATTAGACTCACCAGCCAGGAGCTGATGAAGTGTTACTTATTTTGTTCATTCTTTTTTGCAACACCGCCCCTGGTGTAAAGTTTGTAGAATACGCCAGCAATGAATTGTAAATTAAATTTTGATGTAGATCTCAATGTAATCGATGTAGATCTCAGCTGCGATTGATAGTTGTAGGTCAATGGAAAGACGAGGTCGATTGGATCACAAAGACTTGAGACGGTCCGATATGGATCAGTGATTTCTTGGAACACCGATGCCCAAAATAGTGTCACGCAAAACACTTTGGTCGCTCAACACCACAGAATGTACAGGCAGGCTGAATATCAATCAATGCATTGTCAATTTAAATGGATGATTTGAAAAACTTGGGTTGAAAGGAAAAGACAATGGGACAAAAACTTTAAATGTACAGATTAACAAAGGCCTCCAGATGTTTGCAAGTGCCACCAATTCAGGCCTCTTTACAATCAGCGACTTTTTGTCCTTATTTTCAAACCCAAGCCAAAAATGTGTTTTTTTTAGACTTTGTTGTCCCTGGAGTGTTTCCAGGTCCCCTGCTGATTAAGCAGGACAGTGATTCTTGAAGGACATTGAGAAGTAATCCTGGAGATTAAGCACTAATTATGTGCCAATGCGCAAAACCGCCCTCGTCACAACTGTCCTTGCAAAGAAAACTGGTTCTTGTTGCTGGATCAACCAATCAACCAATCAATCAATAAATGAAGACACAAAAAGGTTGCCAGGCATCCCTGCATTGAAACAATCTATTTATGACCCCACTTTTGCCTTTCATATCTTTTTCTGCAGCTAATCACCAAAGCCTCTCCCCTTGTCTTTATCCATAAAACTGCCTAGTAACCTCCTCTGCCCCCCCCCCCAGGCCCCAACGCCACCTACCAATTGCTGCCCGTTGCTGTCACCATTTCTGAGGTGGTAATCCCCAGTGGTCGAAAGTGAATAATACACCTGCTCTGACCTACCTTCCCCTCCAATCCACTTATACTGAACTCTTATCTTTGCACAGAAGCACTGTACCTTCAGGGTGGCCCCTGAGGCTCCAAGGTTCAATGACAATCTCTCTCAGCTGAAGAGTCATTTCACTGTCACGTCACATATCAACGATCTTTACAGATTATGAAGGATTTTGAATCTTTGTCACTTACTCTTTGACTTCCTTCGCGCTGAAGTCCAGGTAGCGGTTGCTGACCCATTGAATCTCAAACCAATCTCTGTAGTTCTCGTTCCCGCAGCAACGAAACTCTATCTGCATCAAGTCCAGGGTCCTCTTCATGTAACAGCGACCCGGTGTGTCCGTGTCCTTGTAGAACTTCATGCCGTTCCTCAGCCCCTCGGCCAGGGTGAACTGCAGAGGGATCCTCATCAAGAAGCACAGCAGAGCCGTCAGGAGCAGCAAGGCGTTCAAGCCCACACAGAACACCAGGAAGGTCTTCAACATGGGCTTCCACTTTACGAACTTGGAAGGGTCGAGTGAGTCGTAGCAGACCTTTCCTCCAAAGGCATTGATGCCGCACGTTATTAGACCCATGAATATGAGCAGGTTGGGTAAGAAGTGGCTCTCGTTGTTGTCCATGAGTTCCGATCGCTTTCTCAGCTCTATCTTAAAAAACAGGCCCATGCTGAAAACCAGCACGCCGGCCATTACAGCAAACCAGTACATGAACCAGACCGTCTGAGCGAGCTTCACTCGCTTTTTCAGATCGAACTTGACCAACATCAGAGCCATTGTTCAATCCGAGTTGTGTCCTTGCCTGAGCAGAAAAAGAGGATTCAAACGACGATGTAGGTCAGCAGGAACTCCAAGATTTTCAAAGTTTGCAACTCACTTTGGATATGTGCTCTTGATGGCGCCAACCTGTTAGTCCTAGTTTCCCTCTCTCTTTGTTAACAGGGTCTCCTCTCGCTGGTCCAGCAGGAAGCAGAATCAGCTCAGGCGGTAATCCATCCCACAGCCAAGGAGCAGAGGTGAAGAACCCTGGACGACCCCAGTGGAGCACAGGAGCGTTATTTCTTCAAATCTTTCTCCTCTCCCATCGTGACGGAAACTTCAAATTCCACAAAGCTTTGTTTTACTCAACTTTTACCAAGTTTTCCTTCCTTGACACGCGGGTGAGGCTAATCGTGATGTTCCGTTCTCTCTGAGAGGCGGAAGATTGCCGAGGATCCTCATGATTAAACTCAAAGTTGCAGTACGTCATGGTAAGCCCCTGTAAGTAGCCTGATCCAATTTACAGAAATCCCTCCACACAAGATGAGCCCGGGCGTAAGCCGCTACCAGGGGCCATAATTGGTTTGAGCTTTTCACGTGGTCATAGTTGCCTAGAATGAGCAAACTAGTGGCTGTTGAGGTGTCAGCTGAAGCTCTGACAAGGGCCACTTACATGAAAGTGATGCTATTAATGGTGCATACCCATTCACAGATAGGGGTCCACCAGTTAAAGAGATCCGACGTCTTCCCAGTGGAGTGAAATGGCTGAGTTAATAAAGCCCCAGTAACACATTCACAGACACACAAGAGCTTTCTGGATCACAAATCAAACCCTTTCTATCTGTACATGAAGAATTCAGTCACCAACTCAAATCTGACACTAACTAGATGAAAACATGTGCTCACACATGAATACATATGAAGATATAAGATACTTGTGGCAAACATTACCTGGCAAAGCTTATTAATGTATTAAAGTGATTTACGTTGTGTCAGTAATGAACTTTACTTGTCTTGTCTTGGCCGTTACTGTCGATACTGTGTCTGGCACAAACATGAGCCAGATACGTTTGCTGATCAGAGTCTTTCCCTGGAGTGTTTTGACTTGAACTTCATCGTGACTGACATGAGAGCTGCAGTGTTGATTACTGCAGTAGTTCTACTGTGAATCCCAGCCCCTCAATGTACTGCATATTTACAGATTTTAATAACTGAACCTTTAAAATGAGGTGGTTTTTAATTCTGTGTGGTGCAGGTATGTTAATTTATTAAAGACCAAAGGTTCCTGTCTAAGAGAAAAATATTAAGGAAGACCATAAATTAACAACTTCCCTACTCTATTGTACGTGCTCTGATTTACTCACATTATTTCTTCCATTTTTAAATCACATAAATCAGCTCACTGTGAACTTTTATGAAATATTTTAGCAGTTTCAAACAACCCATAATGTAGTTGTATTTAGATATAAGGATGTTAAGTGTATTAATGTATAGTGTTAACATTAAATTCTCCTATGAAGACATATTTTATATTAATCAAAACTTACATATCCTCAAAACTTCACGATAGCGTGTAATAATACCTTCATTAATTACTGCTTACAAATGCTAAATAGACTGCAGTGAAAGTAAAAAGTCATTTTATTGATTATAGTTTAGGTTAATATTTGTTGTACTGAAAAAATCTTGATTATAATTTGATTAACTTGCCAGAAATTGATAATCAGTTTTGTCGTTTTAGAATTGGAATGGCTATATTTGTTTTCATGGTCAAAAATAACATCTGGAGTTAAATGTTTCTTTCAAATGAGCTTTTTACAAAGTTCAGACTCGACTCTGTTGTGTTCTGTGACACTTGTGCTGCATAGAAAACTCCAGGTGTCTCTAGGGGCGGCGGCTGCCAAAAGCTTTATTCAAATCCACTGTAATGACGACAGTGTCAGATAGTGATTTAAAGCTGTTATGTTACAGTAGTTTGACTGGCTCTCAATTCTGTTCTTGATATGGCTTAAAAATAACAGGTAATTTATTCTCCTTTGCTACTTAGGGATCATTTTATTCTAGAGAATTACTAATTGTACAAAAAGGGGGAAAAGGCTTGGTCAAAATAATAATAATAATAAAACCATCATAGGTTTTTTTTTCATGATTTTTATTATCAGTCAGGTTTTTCCTATTATAATTAGTCTGTGCTGTTAATTGTGGGGTGTGTTGGCTATATGAGTTACATTAGAACAGCAGCTGCATATAAATAAAATGAGCTGAAGGGGACACAATCATCAAACCAAACTAACATTCATGAGGTAACTTAGACACATTTTGTTTGGTGGTTTTGTGGATGTGTTAATTGTGATGGGTCAAGAGATAAACACTATTAGTCCCAGTTGGTTCTCCTGTCTGCCTCTGGAATGACAGCCCAGTTGGGTGAAGGTGTTCTTGCGGCGAGCCAGTTGAAGTCATCCACCTGGTTCCAGTTGTTTCTGTCCCGATCCAGGCCGGACACGTTAAAGTCAGCGTCCAGGGTGGGATAAGACCAGGAGAACGGGGCGAGGCTAACCCCGTGACAGTCCTCTATGATGGCTCGGCTGGTGACGTGCAGATACACCTGAGTGTCCGTGGTGCTGTGGGTCCGCAGCTGCTGGCAGGGGAAGGCCAGGGTGCTGTTCTTGCAGTGATCCACAAACACGGAGGTGGACACGGGCCCGCACAGGATCTCGCAGCTGTCGATGTGCTTCAGGTGCAGCGTGCTGGGGGAACCGAACAGACGCACCTTGCAGTTGGACAGGTGGGTCAGCAGCACGTCTCCTTTCTGGATCTCCTCGGCGGTTTTGGTCAGAAGCTCACCGTCCATGTTGGAGAAGCCACACTGATCAGTGGCAGCTGCACCTCCTCCATTGGCCCCTCCAGACGTAGCAGCACCAGGGGGAGACTTCTCCAATGCACCACCTCCTCCATCCGCCTTTCCAGACTCCGCAGGTGTGTCCGCACCAGGGGGAACTGCGTCATTGGTGCGAGCTCGAAAGGCAAACTTCTTCTTGGGCAGAGCCTTGTCTCTGGCCTCGGAGATGGAGCTCTGCAGTTTCTGGAGAGCGGCCTGCGCCTGCCTCAGCTCGTACTGCGTCAGGAACAACATGCTGTCGTTCACAAACTTCTGGAGCTGCGCAGTTTTGGTGCTCGTCTCCTCCAGCCTCCGGATCACCTCGGCCCGGTCCGCTCCGGAGCAGCGGGACAGCAGCTCCTCGATACACGCCAGCTCCGTCCGGAAGGTTCGAGAGAAATACTCGCCCTTCTCCTCCGGCACGGAGCGGATCTCCTTCGCTTCCTTCCTCCGCTCCACATCCTCTATCCTCGCCTGGTTCCGCTTCTGAATCCGCTCTTGAATCGTCGCGGCATCGCTGTCAGTAGCGAACTTATTGTCTTGACTGACTTCAGCTGCGGTTTCCATGTTGCTGCAGTGACGGTGTTTGCGGAAGCGACTGCGCCTCTTCTTCTTCTCGGCTCGTGAAACCCGAGGTGGAGTCTCTACACCGCCACCTACTGTAGCGGAGGTTAATTTGATCATGGACATTACAGTGAAGCAGAATAAAATGACTTTAATGTCATCACACAATGAGGCATGGCGAAATAACAGCAGCTACCACTGAAAGGTGCATTTAGTAAAAAAATAAAATAAAATATGACGATAAAATAAACATGTTTGCAGGACTTTAAAAACTATACAAACTAGTGCAAAGAGAGGTGCAAGAGGAGGTAGTTGTGGTTGATTGTAGTACAAAGTAGGTAGTTACGGTTGGATTGTATCGTAGTTATTTTATTGATAGTGTTCTGACGGCCCATGGACAGAAGCTGTTCCTCAGTCTATTAGTTCCCCATTTTAATGACCTGAGCCGCTTCCCAGACGCCATCAGTTTAAACAGTCCATGGCCAGGGCGGAATCCTCTGTGGATCGGTCTGCCCTGTAGGCGTGATCGTCCCCTGCTGGTTGACTGCAGTACAGGTCATTAACATATATTCCCAACAAATAAGATATAAGAAATATTGGCAGGAGAAATACGTGAAAGCGTAAATAATATGTATATCGTGTAAACTCGATATATAAAACGCAAACAGGATTGTACATGGAAAGATACTGAGATATCGTGAATTTGCTCTGACAATATCGCACCTACGTTATTTCATGAGTAACATGCACGTATGTATGCGTGTGTTATGCATCGATGTGTGCGTACGTATGTATATATAGTACACACTTTGTGTTACATTTAGTTTTGTCTTTCATCATCGATGGTTTCGTAGATCAAACGTCTTCAAAGGGACAAATATACAAATATAACTTCACCTCCTGGGCACTGCTGAGGTGCCCTTGAGCAAGGCACCGTACCCCCCCAATTGCTCATAGGGCGCTTTTCCTGGGGGCTTCCCATCACTCTACCATCTCTCTCCAAAATATGCATGTCTTTGAGCCCTGTGTGTGTGTGGGATTGTGGGTTAATGCATGTATTAAATGAAAAACATGAGTGTAAAAAGAATTTCCCCTTGTGGGATCAATAAAGGAAGTTTAAGTTTTAAGAATCAAACCGCTTGTGATCACAAACCTCACAACAGACACAGTGTCCGCGTGTACACCTGTGTACGCTACGTGTATAGTCACCAGGTGGGACTCCACGTTCACAGTCTCGATCACACCTGAACAACAACAGAGGTGTGTCACCCCCCCCCACCTGATCGGAGCCCCGCCCTCTACTGTCCACGATGACGCATGACAACAATTTACCTGCCGGTCACGTGGGCGGAGGACTGAACTCTTTATAACACTTTAATATTAGTAAATAATAAACATGTCTGTGTTAATCACTGACGGCCGCTGGAGCTCTTGAAGCCCGCAGACATGTCAGGATGTCGGCGTGCACCACCACCACCATCACCGCCGCCGCCGCCACCACCACCGCCGCTGCTGCGGGTCGCTCCGTGCACTACCCCGGCGACCCGTGCGGCGATGGCGAGGAAACCCCGTTGACGTTGCACTGCTTTTTCATGCCGGTGAGTTTCCCTCTGAGTGAATTATAATTTTGCGATAAAAATTTCAAGGCAGAAACACACGCAGGCTCCTTCCTGCTTCCTCCAGGGAGGGAAGAGTCCGAGCGCAGAGCGAAATGTGTCCGAGGCAGAGCGGGGAGCCGGAGAAAAAACATCCGAGTGGGAGAGGGAGCAGGAGGAGGAGGAGAAGGAGGGGGCAGCAAATTAAAAGTTGCCAAATGGAGATATTGGGTTTCAAGCCGAGTGAGACGGGAGTTCGCCTCTTTTGACGCGTCTTTTGTGTGTCGTCGCTAATCGGGAGAAATTTCCACGCCGCGTCTCCTCCGCGGGCATTTTTCGACGGATTCCCGTCGTCGGCACGGCGGCTATAGCTAACCGGAGCAGGCCGGTGCGCGTCGGTTCAGGCGTCGCAGCGCGGATTGGGGCGACGCGTCCGGAGCAGAACCGGGGATGATGTTTAGAATTAAAAACCTCCACCCCCCCTCCTCCTCCTCCTCCTCCCCGGTTGGAACGAGTCGGTTTCGGTATTTTGAGTCAAACGCGGCGACGCCGTTGTGTTTTCTGTTGTTTGCGGAGGACGCGTGAAAGTCGGCGGAGACGGACCCGAGCACGTCGCAGACAGCCGAGACACGAAGGCTGGCTCACGGGCGTTTCAGTGCGGCTCGAAGTTAGATAACCATCCCGTCCGATTCCGTCTATTTTTAGGGATTAAAACCAGCTAGCTGCGCGTTAGCCCGACTTTCTAAACCGACACCGAGCCTCGGTCGAAGCCCTGCGACGGGGACTAGCTTGGTTTCCGTCGAGGCGCTCGTGCTACGATGCGACGAAAATTAGCTCTAAATTTAAACGTTTCACTTGATCAAAACGCAAAACAACGCGTGACACCCGCAACCATGCCTCCGTTTTCATCGCTGAACTCTTTTTTTTTTTTAACTCGGTGGTTTGTTTTTCTTCCCGCTGCTAACGTTAACGTTTCGATCACAACGTGTTAGAATCGAGGTGTTTTTCGCATGTTAACGACTCAAATTCACCGAGAAGGCACCGGATCGATCGCGTTTCAGTGCGTTTGCGTGTAAAATACATCGTCACTGTGATCATGGCTGCCCTTTGTCGTTGTTTGGCATATTTTTGTTTCATTGAATCGATTTTACAGAGGACAAATGAATTCTGTCCATCATGGAGTTACTAGTTAAATGTTGTTTACTGACACTTGACATTAAACGATTCCTCTTGAAATAACGTGTTTAACTGTGATTGAAAGTCATTCATCGGTCGGTCTGAGCTGTTCTCTCTGAGCAGCAGCCCTGCACGGCTTTGTTCTCCCTGGATCAAAGATGGAGGCTGAACGTGGCTGTGAAGACAACCCTGTGTCGTGCTAACAGCCATTTTGTAGATTTCTACAGTTGTAACATTTTTTTTTTTTGCACAGACTCACAAAAAAAAAAAACAACCTCCGCTTTCCCTCGACTTTCACCAGAAGCACAAAAACAACAATGTCATTCAAAACACACGTTCATTAGTCACTGAAGGTACTTTTGCTTTCTGATACAAATACTGTCTCTTGTGTTAAAATTCAACATTTTTACCTCAAAACACTTTAAAGTAATGTAGTGGATGTCCAAACTCTCACATCATTACTCTGCAGCATCACAGTAACGCTCTCACTGTCTCATTATTGTGTCCCTTTCATTAATAGTAGCACCAAGATGGCTGCGTACATTTCAGAACATAAAGCCAGCTCCTCTGTGAGTGTGGAGGCTGAAAACAAGCGTTCATGGTATACATGGAGCAGGGTGGAGTTTTACACTCAAAGGGCCATTTTGGCTCCGCGCAGACACGAAAGACGACCAATGTGGGACAGCAGAGGAGGATCATGGGTGGGAGTTTTGAGTATCTGCTGCAGGGGGATGAAGGCCGTCCTGCCCTCACGTACACACTGATTTACCACAGCAATGAATAACACACTGTATCCGTCCCCGTCTGTCTCTGCACGCCCTCATTTCACAAACCCATCCGTCTCTGACACTCCCACACCCTCTATCTCGCACCTGTATTTTTTGTAATCCTGCTAAATTTAGTTTCTCACCCCGCAGCCCAGCCTGCTGCAGGAAACAAAGGGTGTTAAATGACTGAGTCCATGCTTCCTGCTGCAAACCTGTGAGTGAGATGCCGACACAGCACACATGCAAGTGTCCCAGCTCAGAATAAAAACAAACAAGTGCCCAACAGAGGTTTCCTCCACTGTTTGATGAAGCCAGTGGTCGTAGCAAATGTGAACACAAATCCTCTAATCTTCATTTCTTAGACTCCTCACCTGTGTCCTTCCATCATCTCTCAGGTGTCATGGATGATGAGGACGATCGCCATCTTCTGGATATTTTAGGGTAAAAACCTGGCTCACATTACTTGAATAACCTGAAGGAATATGTACAGATTTGTTCATGTAGTAACACATTGTGCATGTCTGCCTACATTTAATCTAAATAATCATTTCCAAATTTCCTCTTTGAAATCAAAATATCAAGCCACATTTATCTGTAAGCATATTCTTTTCCTCCTTTGGTGATTGAGAGAAGTGATTAAACAAAAATCCCTTGCACAAAAATGTATTGTGACATTTTTCTCACGGAGTAAAGCAATTTCTACACCAAACATAAGTGAGAAGAATGTATGTTGCTTGAGATGTGTTTTATGTGTTTCTGCCCCTTTTTAAAAAAAGTCTTCTTTCGAACCTTTTCAGAGATGTGGATGCATTGAATGACTATCTCCATGGCAACAACAGCAAGTCTGTGAGTGACTCTTACAGAACACATTCAAAGTTGATCCTTGCAAAGTTTGTCTGAATAGAAAAGCTTAATTTTAATGCTGGGATCAGACCACCCAGGCCCCCCCAGTTCTCTGATACCCTGCTTTGTTTTTGCAGATTGAGGAGGATGATGTGACGAATGCAGCTTATGGATCTGATGGATCCTTCTTTGCTGGTGACACAGTAGGTTTCCCTGTGATTATTCTCATCCAACCAAAACATACACAGATTCTTTAATTTTTATTTGGGATTTAGTTTCTGTTGACACTGATCATGTTCTCAGGCTTTTTGTTAGGCTTTACTACTGATGTTGTTATGTATCTAACAGTATGGAAAGTTAAGGTTAACAGTGGTGCTGCATTTATTAATTATCTTCATTATAGAGTAAATTGTCACTGTGCTTTTGTTTGATTTACTTTTTGTAAAGGTTGTAAAAAGCATTTAAGCCCCTGGCATACAGGCTGAGGCCTTCACATGCAAACTGTTTTTTCTAAATGCCTCATTTAGGCTGGCTCCAACACTGGCCTCAAGGATGGCTCTTCCTCAATGGGTGGGTTCGGCGCCGATTCAGCCGGGGCAGGCCTCCAGCTCTCCAGCAGCCTTTCATTCATCGAGGATGAATTGGTGACCGGGAACTCCTCTGGCGGCGTGGACCTCGGGGGGGAGGACCAGCCCTTTGACATCCTGCAGAAGTCCCTCCTGGAGGCGGACATCACGGAGCACACACTAGCCCAGGAGGCCTTACTGGACTCCCAGCCCGCTCCCACTCTAGTGCAGGCGCCTGTTCCCTTCCAGTCCCAGCTGGTCTCTGGGGGTTATGGAGGGGGAGTGGGTATGGTTACCACGGCAACAGCTGCTTTCCCAACAGGTCAGTTCTTGCAGGGAGTGTCCCAGCTACCCAATGGATCCGCCCAGCACATCCAGGTGTTGGGATCCTTTGGGGGAAGTGGGGGGGTGATGACTCTGAGCAGTTTGGAGAGAACTCCTCAGATTGTGTTGAGGCCGGGGGCCCCTGTAGCTGCTTCAGGGGCCACAACAGGGGGGCAGGTGTTTGCCCCGACTCAAGGGCAAGTTGGCCTACCTTTCAAAAACATCCCCCTTCAAAACATCATCATCCAGAGAGGCCCCGGAGGGACCCAGACTCTTGTCAGACCTATCCAACCTAAACCACTTCAAGCTGGGGCGCAGACCGTCTACAGCCTGGGTCTTCAGCCCACTTCCACCACCATGGCTAATGCTAACGCTGCTACTCCTGGGGGGCAATACACAGCCAATGGCTCCATTGTAGTACAAACGCCCCTGGAGCAGCAACAAGCGCAGGCACAGACGAACTTACAACCTGGACAGTACTTGCTCCCCAGCTCTTTGGCCCTCACTCAGGGCAGCAACATCCACAACGGCCCCACCGACCCCAACTCAAATGCCCTAATTACCAGTCAGAATGCGGTGCAGATAGTGGCAGGACAGAACTTCACCGCACCACAGAGGGGTCAGTTTATTCTGAATCAGGGAGTAGTCAACGCGGGTCAGGTTGGAGCGTGTGTGACCCAAACATGGACAGGAGTAACTTGTTCGACCACAGGTCCTGTGCAGACATCATGTGCCCCTGGGCGTCTGACCCTGGTTGGCTCAGCGTCGGCTGGGGTCGTTGGTCAAGCCCAAGTGTCAGCAAGCCCAGTGCAGCGCCTCCTAGTCACTCAAACCCAGAACTGCACGTCCCTGTCCCCTTTACCTGGAGCAGTGACGCAGGACCAAGACTTCAGACAGGTAGAATTACACCTCACTGGTGGTATTTTAATAATTAGTCTCTCACTTTTGTCACTGCAGTCTGACTCTAACTTTTTATTATTTTCAGAATTCCTCATCACCTGCCCTCAAACAGACACAGCCCAGTAACATTCATGGTAACTAACACCGGTGTTTCAGAAATGTCTGTCTGTGTTTTATGTGTTGTCTCCTGTACTTTGACTTAATGTGGTTCTTGTGTTGTTTGTTTCTTTTAGTCATGAGAACCATGACGCAAGATTCAACGCTTAACTCTCAGGTAAATTCATTATTTGTTGTGTACATCTTTTATAAATGTTGAAATCAGAGGGCAGCTCTGGTACATTTGACAATAGAATACGCTCATAGGGACGATATTAGTGATGTTGTGACAGCTTTGGTTTCTGTGCTGTGTCCAGGTCAGCGCACAGAAGAGGCCTGCCCATCCCCCACTTACAAGAGAAGGAATGTGAGTTGTTTTAAAAAATATATTTTGATTTGTCAGGTGTGGACATGTGTACATAGTTTCAAACACTGAAGGAGCTTTTCTTATCTCTGTAGGATTTTACAGCGGCTGGGGAAGGATCACGTCGGAGTTCAGACCCTAGATCGACGTAATTTCACTTCAATCAGCGACGCGCTGCAAAGACTCCTCCCTTACCACGTGTTCCAGGGGGCGCCGCCCAGCCAGGAAGAGTTCTCACAGGGTACGTACGGCCTTCATCTGTTAGCCTGAAGCTAAATCTACAAGTGAAAAATAATTTTGCAGAATAAAAAAATGCTTTTATCCAATTCGAGGTTTGGTTGTTTTGTTTGCAGTGGATGAGGAATTTGAGGTCGTAGCGACTCAGGTGCTGAAGAGGACCCAGGCCATGGTGAACAAATACAGACGACTGCTACTGGTGGAAGCTGAGGTAGGCCCGTACATGAGCAAGTTGTTGCACTCAGATGTATTTCACAGGTTGCTAACAGGTTGCCTCTCCCTCCCCTGCAGCGCTCAAGTCCGTCATCGGAGATGGTGATGATTGACAGGACCTTCAACCAAGAGGAACGCAGCAACCTCACGCAAGACAAGCGCATGGTACTAGTGGATCCAGGTAAGACAGAGAAAAAAGCAAGAGTAAAGGAAATTGGAGAAATGAGACATTCTTATCAACTCTTCCTCTCTTATCTGTCTGTTTTATAGACAGCTTTTTGGAAGACTTCTGCTGTGGCATGAAATCCAAACTTTTCCAAGAACCGGCCCCTCCTCCGTCCAGCTGGAACCAGTCAGACAGTGGCTCCACGGAGCCGCCGTACAGGACAGACTCGCAGCCCGGCTTTGGAGATCCGGGAGGGGGCGGGGCTGCAGGAGCTGGTGCGGCAGACAGACTCCCCCCTCTACACTTAGAAAACAAGAGCGTCCTTGAACTGAAGAGATCCCAGCAGCGCTTTGTGCCCAGCGGCGGCAGCAGCAACAACAGCCTCGCCGCTGCCAACAGCTGTCCTGAAGGTAACACCTCGCCTTTGGCAGCAAAGTCAGGAGGACAGACGCACTACCAGGGTTCACACCAACTGTCCTCCCACCCGGTCCCGCCCCAGTTCCCCCCTCGGCTCACGTCACCCCCACACCCTGAAACGGACTCTGCTCTTGAGGCGGCGGTCAACAGCATCTTGGAATGTTAAGACTGAAGCTTCTTATCATCCCCAGTGAATGATTTTGTCTTTTTATATGTGTCTATATGTTTATTTTTTTATTTTTAATCTCTCCTGTTGAAATATTTGTTATCTGCCCCACAACAAATCCCTGTGTGAAGAGAGGTCAACTCTTCTTTCAGGTTCCGGGTCTTTGTGACATGATCGGCCCTGTAGCATTTGTTTAATTTGTTTTTACATTTCATTTTTTTGTTTTGAAGCATGACGACATGAGGAGTGGAGGTGGATACAGGCACTTATATATATATATACCTATGAAGACCCGGGAGTGTGTGCAATGCAATGGACTAAGAGAAAATGATCTTTATTTTCAATTTACGGTAACTTGAATATAAAGCTGCTTTCAGACATGATCTCTTGAAACTCGAAGGTGCTGCATGTGAGAGCGCAGATGTCGGGGGTCAGTTTTTCCCTGTGAAAGGCAAAATGTCCGGAGAACATGTCTGGAAACAGTTCAGGAGTGTTCCTCTCTTCACACACAGACACACATGCCATATATATATTTAGTGCCAGCTGATTACCCACAGTACCTATGCTGAAAAAACCCAGGATGTGGGGAATGATGACAGTGCCTAATTTTAGGTTTTTCCTTTTTTTTTTTTTTAAGTGTTTACATGAAGAAGTTGCATTAAGAATTCACTCGTTTCCTTCCTATGTCACAAAAACACCCAATGAACACGTGGTTCGGTAGATTCTTTAAGGTTCGATCAGCGGAGAAACGTTCACTTCGACAAATTGCACTAAACGTACTGTTGCTTTTTTCAGGAACTGTAAGAACATGAGTCGATCTCCAGCGTGCGCTCAGCTAAACAGAATGTGAACAGAACCAAAATGAGTTTGCCTGCTTTCAGCTGCCTGCAACAAGGATGACCTCTGACTCCCACTAGAAACCAGTCTGACATGTTTTACTGTTCTCAAAAATGCTTCTTTTCTTTTCTTTTCTTTTCATTTCATTTCTTTACTCCTTGTGCTTAAGTCACATTTTCTTTGGCTTTTTTTTCTTTTGTACCTTAAAGGTATGCAAGCCCCGACACAGACAAATCTCCATTTCAACCACCTCTATCATTTCACGGTGTATTTTGTGTCAGGGGAGATTAGTCCTCAGATTGAGGAAGATATGTTACATCCTGTTTATCTTTTTTATTTAGATTTTTTTATTTTCCTAATTATTAGAAAATTTGACTGTTCTGCTCGTTGCAATGATTCTGACGCCGTCGTTATGTTAAATCACCTTGAAGTGTAATGATTGTATGTTTGTCTGCCTTCTGCATTTTATTTTGTATTGATCATATCTATGCTTGAATACCATGACATCTCGATCAGATTTGTACGTTGATCTGCAAACGTGCTCACTGATCCGTCACTACATTCTCATGTAGTTTGATTTCCACACCCCTGATTTTAGGTGTTGGCTCACACCTCCTGGATGTTTCTCTCACTCGCCAGTCTTTTGTTAACATGCATTTTCCCTCTCAGCAGATCAACCAAAATTTACCAGGAGAAAGTGTGGTCGTCCAGAATCGTCCTCAGATTTGTATTTCTTTGTCCAGGAGTGAAACAACATTAATTCCCATTAATGTTGAGGATTTTTTAGTTTTCATTTAGTTATTAGAGCCAAAACTTAACTGACTGTGATATTTCATTCTGACTAAGATTTAATCCTAAACAATGATTTTTTTTGGAGCAACAATCTTTTGTGTTAACGTCCACAGAAATCGGTGCAAAGCAAGAAAAGGCGATTTGTCTGCCAAACCCAACACAGGACCAAAGCTTAGGTTTAACCTACAGTGTTTTACTGCCCCTGGGGTTGATTCTGGATCACACCACCTTCCTCTTATAACCTGTCTGTGAAATATGATTGCCAGTAAGCTACACTGCAGACTGAAGGCCTTTTTATACGGGGTGATGAAGAACTCATTTGTCATCGTCTTCTTTTTGTGTCTGTGTGTGTTTGAGTGCCAGTGGCTGTTGCAGGAGTAGCTGCAAGATGTTGTGCCTCTACAGCACGTAGTTTTAGACCTGCACAAAATAGGGACGTGTCCAGCGACTGTCGGTGAAACATTGTGTGACCTGGACACATATCAGTGTCCGAGGGCCCGGCAGGAACATTACCGCGTCTTCTCCTCTATTTTCAGTGGGGATTTGTTTTTCTGCCTCCATTTTCACTGTCGTTCTGTCTCACTTGATTTGTGTAGTTTGTTGTTTTGTACAAAAAATTGAAAAGTGGAACACAAAATATTTATAATTTTGTATGGAGAAAAATAAGAATGTAAAGAAACAACACATGAGAAAATGGAAATTATTTTTTATTGTGTTTGCCAAGAAGCAGCTTCAGAAAAAAAATAAGAAAATTACAAAAATACTGTCATTTCTTCATTTGTAGCTCGTGTGTGTCCACTACAGCAGCGAGGGGAGTCAACAATAAATTCATTTTGAATACAATGAGAAACCGGTGCAGTCCGGCTGAGAGCCTCCTTCAGTGTCCCTCCATTACTATTCAGCGAGTGTTCACACTCAGCCACTTACACACTCAGCATGCATAGTAACATCCTGTGACAGGGGAAGAGTTTCCAAAGGAAAAACAGATTTGCGACCCTCTGCTTCACAGATAGCATCTCCTCATGAACGCTGCCGTGAGGGAGTGTCACGTTTTATGTTTCTCCACATCTCACATTCCTCACAAAGATTTTTATCAAGTTAAAAACAGTTGGTTCCCTTAAATCCTCTTATGGACCTCAGCACCAAAGCCTCTGCACAAAGGAGCAAAGAAAACTCTGGACTGCCCAACCCACACAATGTTATTAGCACAACCCAACAATGACCCCTAGTGGAGACCCGGGGACACAGCTGAAACTATTTTTCATTGATAAAACAAAATGTGTTCAACTAAAAAACATCTAATTATCCCAATTGATTTTTTAAATAATATTTCTCTAGATCTAGTTTTACATAAATAGAAAACCTAATAAAATAAATAGATTAAACTGCGGTGGTGTGCCCAGAGGCTTTCAGATGTTCTGTCCAGGTCAAGTGAGCATTAAACTACAAATATCTGAATTGGCCGACTGGTTCACTCTGTCTTGATTAGTCAACAGCTTCCAGTGCTTAAAGGAAACGTCGGCCTCCGCTCTCGGGTTTCCTGACTTTGTTTGGGGCCGTGTCAGACTAGAAGCTGTGCATGAAATATGTAAAAAAACAGAAAAACCTTGATAAGGCTCCTTTTACCAAAACCTGAAGCCTCCTCCTGCTACAGCTGTTGTTTCCATGTACACACTCTCTTTTCCTCACATCTTCCCTCGACCTTAGTGGTACTTCCTCCATCGATCGTGCTCTGAAAAACAGACAACCAGCAACATGACGAGTCATCTCCACATCCATCTCTTCACTAACACTGAGAGAAGTTTCCACACTTACTTATATGAGGGTAACTCCAGACGTAGCTTAGCACACAGTATCCTGCTAACAGCATGCCCAGTCCGCCCACACCACCTTTCCTCACGTCGATGTATCTCCTGTAATACCACTGCCAGCCTGAGGGAGGCACAGGAGAGGAGAGGGAACGCATAAATGTAAAAGCAGCCGGTTAGCTTAGCATAAATACAGTAAACAGGTGATCTGTGCAAAGGTGATAAAATCCAAATGTTTCCTTCCTGACGTGTATTTCCCAAAATGGAAGCAGGCCATAGACAGTAAATAAAGATGGACGACATGACAGCTGCCAAAAAGTGAAGCCAAAGCATCTCGGCCGCCCCCTGTTGGCTGGCTGCAGTACAGGTCATAAACCCTGTCTGTAATAAATCAAAATACATCTCAAACAATTTTTTTTGTCATTTGTTTGTATTTCTTATTCCACTGATTTAAATTCAAGTTTAAATTTTTACTGTAAATTTAAATTTGTGTGATTTAGTTTAATCAGTTGTAGATATTCACCTCTCTGCACCATTTCCACTGCGTCTCTTGGACGACTGGGGGTTTTGCAGACGAGCCACTGAGGTAACTCCCTCAGCCTCACCTGTCCCAGACGCCGCCGTGTCACAGCATCTGTTGTTCACACAGAATCATCGACAGATAAATACACATTTGAAAACATCCTCTGTCGTTTCACTTTCATCGACTGAAAGCGTTTCCACTCAGTGTTTCCTGCTTATTCGATACAGAAACTGAAACAAGGCTCTTTTCACTTTGAGGAACACAAACTTGTTTTTCAGCTAAACCTTTTTTCTAAATTCAACTTGGAACTTTTCTAAACTAAAAGAAATTGTTGAATTCACCTGAATAAAATAGTTTGAAATGATAAAAATATCATAAGAAAAGGATTCAAGCTGCGATTCATAATGTTGGTCATTATGAATAATCAGTCTTGTTTTGTAAAGCACAAGAAAACTGTAGTAAATATTTGAGAGATCGAGGCAACTTCCTTTTTCTCTTCTTTGTGTGAAGAACTGAGCTAAAGTCAAACATATTTAATGAACCATGTCACGATTTCTGTGGAATACTCACCTTCCTTTCTATTGTGAGCAGTGTTTTGTTTCCTCTCCTCCAGGATCTGCCTATCAGCAGCTCTCGACGTCTCCACCCTCGCCGGCAGCGTTTGAGTGGCGAGAGGTAAAAGACGAGGATTGGAGAACTGGATGGATGACGGTGACAACGAGAGGAGTTCTGTCATGTGACGGCCGACCTTCTGCCCCTGGTTCGCACCGACTGAACCTGGAGGAGGTAAAGTTTCGGGGACGAAGAGTTTTGGTTGAGAGGAACCGTCGTGTTCCACAGGAATTAAAAACGCTTCTTTAGACTTGGAGCTTCTTTCCTTCACTGTTAATACTTCAGTTTGTTGTGAACTGGGGCTGAGCAGCTGCTCTGACACAGTTTGAGTTGTTACCAAGCAGCGAACGACATCTTTTCCAGTCTCAGCTGGAATCGTCTCTGCACTGAGACGAGTATCAAGTCTGGTTGTGCTGCTCAGGTCGTCGGTAGTGTCAGTCTCGCTCAGGATTCTCCTCCTGCTGGAGGTGCTGGTTCTAGCTCGGCCTAAAAGGGCTTTAGCGTCCTGGATGGTGATCCTGGCCTGGTCACCACTTCCCGATGTTAGAATTGTCACATTTAAATCCTTGGTTTCCTCCACGTTATCCACCCAGAGGTCGTCTCTTACATGGGTTCGGTTATTTAATCCAGAATCTAACGAGTCAGAGTCTTTGGGAGTGGAAGGAGGCTGTGCAGCCCTCTTCGTCTTTGACGCCTTCTTTTTAGGAGCATCGGTCGGTGCTGTGGTTCTGGAGCTTGGAGGATCTGGAACCAAAACAGGAGTGGAACCTGAGAGCAAGCCTTCTGAGGCGGATCTGGTTCCTTCCAGAGATCCGTCAGCAGCTCGGTCCGTCTTTGCAGCTTCTATCAGAGCACGGAGACTCTTCTTTTTCGGCTTCGAGACGGTGGAAGGTGGAGACGGAGACAGCGGCGGAGAGGAGCTGAGGGAGGTAGTGGTGGAGGAGGGCGTGCTGGCCAGCTTGATTTGCTCGGTTGGCTTCTGCTTCTTCTTCTTAGTTGACGGAGGAGGTGAAGAAGACCTCAGCAACGCCTCTGTGCCGTCAGACGTCTGTGCTGGTGCGGATGTTGTGCTTTTCTTCGCCCGTGGACTCGACAGTGACTCTCTGGACTTCTTCCCCTTCGCTGTTGGTTCAGAGACACCTGCGACCAGCGGAGAAGACGCTGTCGTCTGATTGGCTCGACGTTCGGTCGGGTTCGTTTGTGCGTTTGCTGCTTTACAGTGTGGCAGGTGACTCTTCAACCGCTTGAAGGTTTTCCCACAGAATGGACAAACCTCTGTGAGGACAGACAGAGACAGAGACAGAGGTTTAAAACTTAAAGTGCAAAAGGACGAGGATGACACGTTTGTAAGTGTCTTGAATCTGCGAACACAACAGCTGGTTAATGTTGTGTCGATCAAGTGATCGATCAGCAGACATCAGATCTGAATACGCAAAAACCAACGATACTGTAAAATATAAAAACATGCAGTACACGTGATACCTGATGAAAATGAATCAACAAACAACAACAAAACACAAACACGTGTAATAGTGATCGTATCTAGGTCACGCGATATTTAACGTTTGCGCTTACCGGAGCTCATTCTGAGCGCGTGCGTCAAACAGCCAATCAGAGCGCAGCGTGTCCCGGGAAAACAATGGCGGCGACGGCATGAGAACTCTTTTGAAGTTGGACCAACTTCAACATTGGGACAAGACGCGACAACTTCCCACGAGCGTCAGGGTCAACTGTTGCTGTGTGGAGGGAAAGGCCCCTTAGGTGGCGCCTCAGGAGCCTGAGGAGAATGAACTGAAATCATCGGTCATTTGTTTTTTATCGTTAATATTATTATTCGTATAATTGAAGAGGTTTAATTTAGTGAGATGTGGGCGGTGTTTTAAATCACAGCTGAAAGTTCTGGAGGAACACGTGGTGATGTGTTCAGTGGGTGTGGGGGGGGGCGTCGATTCAAACGAGATAGTTCCCTCTCTTCCACTTCCGCCTTCGCCTCAATACCCGGAAATGAGGCGAATGAGTCAAATTTTAAAACTACAACCTTCCTTCTCAGTTTGTTCACACTGGTGTAACACACAATAGATTACAGCTCATGAGGAAACTTTGCCACCAGCATCCAGAAAAGATTTGAAATTGTAGAAAGTCATTAAAACTTTAAACATTAGATTCAAAACCAGATGTATGGAGCCTTATATACAGACTATGATGGAGCCTTGAATTACAGTGAAAGGAATCAGTTTATGGAACAATCTTAAGAAAGAAACCAGAGAATCTAAAACAAATATATTTTAAAAACTAAATTAAAGCCAATAGGTTGAGGACATACAATCAAATGTGTTGGTTAAGTTTTGTTATGTTGCGGCAGGTAAATCTTTGAATGGTATAAAATGAATTGTAATTTGGGAACTAATAGAGTGATGTGAGTGTTCCCTTTATTCAAACATGGTTTTGTAGAGAAAGTGAAACTGTTTCTGCTCTCAGCCACATCTCACGGTCCTCCTCAGGGACTGACTGAGGAGTTGAAAATGTAAAAAAATGTTATAAAATATTTCTGGATCTGAATCAAAATGTGATCGTTTCTTCCCTGACCCGTACCGCACACGTCCTTTCACCAAGCTGCGTTGTAATTCGTCCAGTTTAATCATAATCCTGCTAACAGACAGACAAACAAACATAACCTCAGTGGCAGAGGAAATAAATGTTGTATTAAACAAATAGACCATGGTTTCATTAGAAAAGTGTATTTATTGAGAGGGTTAGAGTGGTATGAGACTTGACACAGGAATGAATTTCAAAAGAGCAATGTAAAAATTACACAAAAATACATCTACATGGAAAAGTCATCTTCATTGGAAAAGCAGTGATTTGAAACACATTCAGAATGGAGAAGAAAAAAACAAAGATGCCATTTCTACAACCATTTACATATAAAGGAGATAAACCTGAATATTATTTACATGGCAACAGATTACAGTATGTACAAAGCCAGGACTGGAAGCGAAACTGAAGCTCACAGGAGGAGAGAAAAACTACAGTCTGTGGATGTGAGCAGTCAAGAAGGCATGGGGTGATCTGGCAGAGAAACAGAGATTTGAACAGTGCCTGGAAGTTGTCCTACAACAAAGATTGGCCCCCGACAGAAAACAGCCGCTGACAAAACTATTCAGCTCCAGTGGCTTTTTTTGTGTCTGTATTCTCTTCTACAAATGTAATTTAAAAAAAAAAAAAAGGGAAATCCTAAACAGCACAAGATCGCATGTAAAAAACAAACACAGAGATCTGGAGTCACAACTCAGTGCCGACAGAGAAATTCTCACGACTGGTTACAGCTCACCACAGGCAACGTTGGTTACAGTATATTCAGACCATCTAGAGCAAATCTCTGTACATCTATTAACACACATTCATCAGGCAAACAGGGGAGGTCCGTCCCTTTACGTGGCATCTAATCAGAGATGAAGACAGAGACAGAGGAAGGAATGAAGGGGGGGCCGAGGATCGGGGACAGTACCAAACACTACCCAGCTGACTGTGGTCTACCCGAGTCTGACCACTATGCCAGATTGAGATTAAACGATTCAGTTAGGTCACCAACAACGACGTCAGCATTAACTCATCAACAACATGGACTCCATGTTCTGTTTAACAAAGAGGCACAAATGCAGGATTCAATTTATTTGCTTATGAGACGCTAAGTGGAAAGTTATTGTCTTACACTTTTCTAGCAGTTTTCCAGGAGCCAGTTTCCTTAAAATCCTTTAACAGTTCTCGACTCTTTCACCATCAACGAGCTGGTCCTCGTTCTGGGGACACTTGCAGCATGCCAGCACCGTCAATCTGCTGACGTTCAAACAAGAAAACATAAGTGGGATGGGAAGAGAAAGGAGTGGTGCTGCCTTATGATGAGAAAAAAAAAAAAAAAAGGACAATTGTTCAGTCTCCAGATCATCAGAAACCCCGTATAGACAGCAGGGGCTGAGAAACAATGTTCACAAAGCAGCACTGGATAGTACAACTGAAACAAAGGGAGTGATTTCAGACTAGATGAATTCAGTGCTTGGACAAAGACTGGCAAATCAACTCTGGCACAGATAATATTGGTACATTTGGACCGTCTAACTCTTCTCTTGCATGTTGTATCAAAGTACGTATTTCACCGTGGTAATTTCCTGTGTGGTTTATCTGGTGAGGGAACCACGTGCCCCTTGTTTGTTAATTGTTTCGCTGGTTTCCACAGCCAGGCACTGGAGCTGGGAGTCTTTGCACTGGGGTGTTGTGTCTTGTGCTGTGAGGCCGAGCTAAGGCCGGAGGAGATGGTCTCAAAACGAAAGCAGCAGAGATCATACATCACCAAACATCCAAACTGCCTGCTCGTCTTTTTTACTCCTTTCTTTTGAAACCACAGACCGTCCGCCCTGCTGACTCGTTCCCCTACCAAACCCTGAAGAAGGCCAACTCTTCAAATGAGGAGTGTAAAAACTAATATAAAAACGGCTGAAGAACAACGCTGACGTCTACTGAATTCTTCTGAGGCTGTGGTCTCTCTCACGTCCTCTTTAGGAACGAGGGGGAGGTCGTGTCCTCGTTCAGGTCCTCTACGTTCACAGGTCGACCATGGTCATTGGAGCATGAGCTGTTTGAGGTTGTCGTGGAGGATGGTGTCCTTGACATCCCGGAACACCAGCCTGATGTTCTCCGTGTTGATGGCTGTGGTGAAGTGGTGGTACAGGGGCTTCTGGGTGGCGTCGCGCCTCTTGGTCCGGAAGCAATCAACCATGAACGCCTGGATGTCCGGCAGGCTGTGCTCCGGCCCGGTGTAGTCGGAAAAGTAGTCCTTGAGCGGAACGTTCTTCACCTTCTCCTCCAGCAGGTCTGTCTTGTTGAGGAAGAGGATGATGGAGACGTTGCTGAAGACGCGGTTGTTGACAATGGTCTCGAAGATGTCGAGGGATTCACGCAGCCGATTAGTTTGCCTGTCCTCCATCAGCACCTGGGAACAGAGACAGGACTGTTAGTGTGAGGGCTGTAGCTTTCAAAGAGGTTATGTTTTCCTTGTTTGATGGTGAGAGAGGGAGGAAACAAGATGCCGTGTGTGTTTTCACCTGATCGTATTCTGAGGAGGAGACGAGGAAGAGGATGGAGGTGACCGAGTCGAAACACTCGAACCAGCGCCGTCGCTCGGAGCGCTGCCCGCCCACGTCCACCATCTTGAAGGGAACGTTCTTGATTTCGAAGTCATACTCGTGGATGCCTTTGGTGGGTTTACGGGCCAGCAGGATGTCCTGTTGACTGGGGAGATAATCCTGCAGGGGAGAGGGATAAAGAAAATGAGTATAAAGAAGTATAAGAAGAAATTAGAGCCTTTACTTATTCACTTTATAATTTATTTTTACATAAAGGAAATCCTCTGCTGTAGAAGTCAAATTATTTTTCAGTCAAAGAATTAATTTCACGTCATTCTTATCACACTGACGTGCGTCTTTCCAGAGAGTTTGGATTCATTAGTTATTTGATGCTATAACATTTTACCGTCTATGGCACAAATGAAAGTTTATTGCGACAATCTGACTCTCTGATCATTATCATTTCCTGGCATCCTGTCGTCAGATACAAAACATTTGATAAGACTCTGCATTTTATTACCTTCTAAAACATGAAACTGCTTCTTCTTTCTTCTTTGTGGTTTTCCTCAGAATAATACCCATCTTAGCTGTTTGTCAGCAAACCTTACATTGCGGTATTAACTATAACATGCACACGTCTGATTATAACAATCAGTGCAGGCAGAAACAACTTACCAGCTCGCCCAGTTTATCCAGATTATCCAAGAAATACTTCACAGACTCACCCTGCGACAGGACAAAGGAGGAATTTCTGTTAATTCTAAGTAACTTATTACATTCAGTCATTTTCCTCATAAAAAATAAACATTTATTATCTGCTCTTGTTGCACAAATCACAAGATATTTGTTGCTGTCGTGGACAAAACACACACACACACACAAACAGGTTTGTTTTCTATTTGTGAAATGTGCATCTACCCAAGACCTGAGTCTGCACTGAGGAGCTGCAGCAGGATGCAATATATTCAGTGTTGCAGTAGACACGTGTGAAGGTGTTTCTTTGATCGAGACAGAAGTGAAGCTCGAGAGATGTGTGAATGTGTGCATGTGTGTCGGGGTGTTCTTTCTAGGCGATCCTGGCGCTGTTCGTGCAAAACGAGTGCAAGCCCAGACATGACGCTGGCAGGACTGAGATACATTCCTTCATCAGTGTGTGTCCTGTCAAGAAAACTCAAAATCTGTCTGCAAAAAATGCAAGATATTTTCCTCGCCGTCTTCCCCGGAACCCACGGTGTTGCTGCACCTCGTCAGGGAACTTGTTTTGCATGTAATTTGCATTAATGAGATGATAAACCAACGCCCATGGTATAAAATTCAAATCGAATCTGTGGAAGTGGCTGTGAGGGCTGGATTTCTGTATGAGAGCCAAATACCGGCCATTTCCCTCACTGTAACGCTCCTGTAGACACCTTTTGATCTCTTACAAAAACCAACCTGACCTGAAAAACCTGTGTGTGTGTGTGTGTGTGCCTAAGATTACACAAGGGAGGAGCAGAATGGCGTGGTGCTACTGTAAAGCCAACAGACAGGAGAGTAACCTTTCTGTGAAGCTAATTTTAATTCCAGCCATAATTCTGCCTTTTAAAGAACGTCAAATCTGAGCTGACTGTTGGTTTTAAAAGCGCCACAAAAAAAACCCTGAAAAAAAAACAAAACAGTGAGCTAGAAAAAGCAGAAGAGAAACAAGGAGGGCCATCACTCCGAGCTCTTCTTTCAGCAAGACGGTGCCTGCAGTTTCTGTAAAAGCAAATCTGAAACATGACATTTTCCTGCAAACGCTTCCATGACAATTCTATTGTGGTCGCGTAACGCGAGGTCAGATCTCTGCAGTCTTTTATGACTCGATGTGTAAGAACTCTGAACTTTGTACGACACACCGAGCGACAGAATCCATGTGCGGGTTCAGCTTGTTCATGTGTTTCTCATGATAAATACGAGCAGGCCTGGAGGCACGTGCGATTTGTGATGCAAATACACAAAGAGCTGGGTCAAAACAGGTTGGGCTGAGTCCGCTGGCAGAGAAACACATCGGTCCCACGGAGGCAGAGCAGGGAAAATTCAAACAGCTCCAGAGGAGAAGGACTCTGCTGCTGACAGCTTGTGTTTCTGCAGCGTTGATTCTCCGAGGTTTCAGATTTGATTCACATTTACACCTAATCAGAAGGTTTCAGACGACCAATAATGATTCCGCTATGTTTCTACTCTGTGTTTTCTTTTTCTGAGTGATTCTTTGAGCTTTAAAAAAGTTCCCTGAGACAAAAGTGACGTTAATTAACAAAAAGAAAAAAACATGACGGCTGCAACATTTGTAGTTGATAATTTGATAAAGATTTGAGTCGATAAACCAACACGTGATTTCCCAGAGTCCGGTATTCGTCTTCAAAAAATGAGCTAAGCCCGACCTGACCCTGATGTTTGATGGATTACAGGCACGTGCAGTGTAAGAGGTCAACATGACCGAACCCGATCCACATATCATTTCTAACTATTTGTCCGAACCTGACCCGACTCGCCAGCTCCCAACGGGCTTGGCTCTGGTGTCCACACTTCACCGAGGTGTCGTACTTTTTCAAGTGATCCTGCTTCTGCATTTGGAAAATGTGCTTTTTTTTTTTTTTTTTTACATGTGTTAGCTGAAGCCATACATGCACACAAAACGTGTGTGTGTGTGTCCTTGTGTAATTTGAGGTGTGTGACACTCTTAATGTTTGTGTGCAAATAAGAGTGAGTGGGAGAGCCAGGGCTCTGTTTGTAAGCATAAAGCTGTTTAACTACAGATCAACATTCCAGCTCTGATCACTCTTATTCCCCTTCTGTCTGCACAACCAGCTCACACCAACCAGCCGAGAGTGAGTGAGGCCAACAAAACGCCATTCAACTCTTCAGCCCAACGCAACCGAGAGACAAACATTTCACGTTTTCTGCTTTTGACTCAAAGTTCGTCCCCTGTTCTCTCCTCAGGGGGGGGGGGCTCCTCAACAGCTGGACAACGTATTATGTTTATGACCCAACACCTCACGTAAAATAACCAAACACACGGCAGAATGAAGAAGTGAAGACGAGCGCACAACAAGCACGAACACACTCGACCACAAAGCGTGGTTCTTTTTCTGGGGCAAACGTCAGTGTGTTAAAACATGCGTGCTTGACGACCAAGGAACGGGGAGAGGTGTAAACAGGAAGCTGACTCAATCACATGTCGTACTGCTCAACGTAGAGAGAGGGAGCACCAGAGAATCAAGGGGAGAGAGAGAGAGAGAGAGAGAGAGAGGGAGAGAGGATGAATTAAAGAAGAAAGTCAGTTGCACTTTCTGTTTTCACAGCTGCGTTCCCGGCGCTTCAACCCTCTCACCCCAAATTCTGTACAAACCCAGATTCATACAGCAGAAACATCTCATCAGATCGGGCTGCGTGTTCCGGCCCCATGAAGAAAGTTCTTATGTGTCAGTGAGTAATAAAATAAGGCTGCTGTTAAGTTTGAGTTATTTCTCTGGGAATCCACGTACCAGCTGAAACTCCCTGCGGCGATCGTAGGCGTTCTGTATCCCCGAGTCTGCCCACAGAGCCCTGATGGCGGGCAGATACCGCAGGAAGATGGACGTCTCGAGCTGCCCGCTGGCCATCATCGCCGAGCGGGTGTCGAACGCCATCAGGCTGTCCCCATACTGCTGGTTGTTGGGGTCGCCCCACGGGATGTGCAGCTTCTCCCGTGCGTCCACCAACACACGAACCCCTGGGGAGGAAGTGAAGAGATCACTGATAGGTGGAGAACAAAACAAAAAAATAACACGACACCGGTGTCACGCAAACCTGTTCTGTCTGACAGGATGTGATATCAATGATTTGAAATGTGTCACAGCTGCAAGAGAATCCAATACTTGACTTCACCAGTATTCATCAAATACTCCTGCAACCTATGAGCAGATAAATTACACGTCAACAAAATCTCAGTTTGCAGCGAAAGGAGCCAAAATATATTGAGTTTTTTTTTTTTTTTTAAATCACGTGACAAAGATAATCAGCATCATGTTAGTGAAGCTGAAACTGTTTGAAACCAAACAGACGATTTATTTGTTCCTCAGATAATAAAGAAGTCTCAGATATTAACTTAATGTTGACGGTGGACTCACAGAAACACGTTACTCTGAATATTTATAACACACGTGACAGAACCGACTGATGTTCAGAGTCGATCCCGAGATAAAGAAGTTGTCAGATGTCCCTGTTGTCGGACAAACAGGAACACATTACAACACAGAGGAGGGTTCAGCCTCCATTAGCCTCATCCCTGTGTGTCCTGCACAGAAGTCCCTGAATTTTAAACTTTGTACAGATGTGAGACAGACTGAGCTCAGTGATGTCGGAGCTCCGGCGGCGGCGGACTCTGGTTCTGGGTGTTGTCTCCTCCGCCGCCGCCGCCGCTTCTTCTTCTCCGTCCTCAGCCCAGATGTGGAAACTTTCTCCCCCCACGTTGTGCCGCCTCTCGGGGCCTTTTCATCGGCAGCCCGGCGGGTCGAACCCCCGCTGCCGGGGCCGGAGGCTTTTTTTTTTTTTTACCTTTGATAACGTTGCTGTAGATGGTGGCTCGGAAGTCCTCCCGGGCTCCCTGGTCGAAGTCCTGCCCGTGGATGATCCGCATTTGTTTGAGGAAAGTCGACTTGCCGCTCTCGCCCGCGCCGAGCAGCAGGATCTTCACCAGCCGCTTCACGTACGGCTTCTCCCGGGACAGGCACCGGTCGATCTCCTTGGACCGGCGGAGCTGCTCCACCTCGCCGCTGTTGAGCAGGCAGACGGGCAGACAAACTTTGAGCACGGACCTGGACGGCAGGAAATCCGCCATGTTCGCACCAACTTCATCGATGCTGATTTGATGCGCGTTCGCGGGGCGCAGGCACGCGACCAAGCCCCTTCCCTAAACTCAGGAAGTGAAGCCGCCGACGCGTCGTCACCGTCAGAGTCCCGCTGCTCGAAACAACACGCGCAGAGCTAGCTCGTTTATCGGTGGCCACGCATTTCTTTACCGAAACAAAGTCACGTGGAGTCATCAGATCAAAGTCTGCGATTTCAACTTGTTGCACGATTTTCAAAACCAAAACGCGAAATTGCGCAGATTAATGAATCAATCGACGAAAGATTTTAACACTTTGTTGTGTTTGATTCAGTAAAATTAGTTAAAATATATATATATTTTTTTAAAAACGCGTTTAAACTGAAAATAACTCGTAAACTGCTCTGCCGCCCTCTGCTGGCTCTGCTTGGTAACTACACAACACGGACTGAAAGCCGCGCTCTGATTGGTTGATTCTCTTTGCTGCGTTCAAAGACTGTTGGGAATAATGTGAATTTGTGTTTTAATGCGCATTAAAAGTCGAAATGAAGAAAAAACAAGCGTGGATTTTATTTTTGAGTTGACATTTGCATAAGTCGTCTGGGGGTATTTACGATATGGAGATTTAAGTGGAGCAGTTAATATTCGAGAGAGATAACTTGCTGTGTTTTTATTTTTCATGTACTTTTTAAGGCATTAGTGGAAAAACCCAGTGCAGTAGCCTTGTGAGTTTATATTGCAGTAACTGTTGTTGTTGTTGTTGTTAAGCTGATTTGAAAATAACACGCAGTCCTCTGTGGAAGATGAGGTGGAGAGATGTGGCGTGTTGGCATTATTTCCCAGCCTCCACGAAAGAGCTGCTGGCGAGCACCTGAACGCAGCATCAGTATTGATCATACCCTCCAGCAGCAGCAGCAGAAACATCATCCACATCCACGCACACGACACAGAGGCTCACAAGCTCCAGAGTGTCAGAGAGAAACGCAGCATCATGACCATCAGGAACACTCTGCGGGATCATGGGCAGAGGTATCGACCACGGATGGCCTGTCTCAAGAAGGTGGGTTTGCATCCTTTTCTCCATCAGTGGTGATGATGATCACAGAACCTCAGGCTTCTGAACACTACACCTGCAGACGCACCTATACACTCTTCACTCATAATGATTATCTGCTGGAACCCTGCATGTGCATGTGCTGGCATTTTTAAGCATCTCAAAACAATCTGCATTCTCCACAGGTCGTCAGTGGAACCCCTGTTTCCTGATGCTTTTATGTATTCAGGACGTTTTCAAATCAAATATACTTTATCGTCCCCATGGGGACATTTCTTTTACAGTACAACGTGCAACAAACAACAAAAACATATGGTGTTAGACCCAGAATAATAATGCAGAATAAAAGGGAGTTGAATATTGCACCTGCCCTAAAAACACTTAACACATAAAATACATAAAAGATGAAAAACCTAAAAACCAGAGTGTAAAAGGTGCCTGACAAAGTGCAAACGTTATTGAACATGAGCGAATCAACATGTTAGATGATAGACGTTGGGATGAGTGAGAGTTTGAAGTGGCTGGTTTTACTTAGAACGTTTTTAATAATTCACAGGATGCGTCGGGGAATTACAACAGAACATGACAAGCGTTCCATTCATTCATTGAGGAAGCGATAGGAAAATAACATGTTCGAAATACACGCATCAGAATGAAAACACAGCAAATCGTTATGTTATTTTCCTGCCTGTCGCACTAAATGATCCACTGTGGTTTGTTGCAACCTTTTCACGAGGATAAGGTCATTTATTCTAATAAGCATTAATCCTGGATCAGTATCAGTGTGTCCACCTAAACAAAGCAGCTGCTGGAAAGAAGTTAATCCAGGCACTGTGTATTAGAAAACAACCAGCTGGGTCCTGCAGCCAGAACATAGACTGGATTCATCGACATTTCCAATTAATTCAGACGAGAGACAAATGAGCAAATAATATTTTAACAATGTGTCGTGCTCTCATGAGGAATCCTCACTCCAAGCTAATGTTCCAGGACAAGTTTGTGTTTTGGTCCATGAAAGCCCACGGTGGTCCGGCTCAGCCTGCAGCTCACAGCCTCTTCAGGATGACTTCAAAGCACAAAGCAACTTCAAACAGGCCCAGGAGTCTCTCTCACTCTCACACACACACACGCAATTTCACACAAACTGAATTATTGCACCGCACAGTTTCTTGCTCTGTGCTGCACGCACTCCTACCTGAGCTGTGGGGTCTGTGGGGCTCTGCGGACATGATAACTAGAAAACCCAAACGGTTTACAGGGAAGTGAGTCACCGCAAACCTCCTCCCACACAAGGCAAACAGTAGCCAGGAGATCAGGGCTTGGAACAAACGTCACCTCTCGCTGTGTTTATGTGCAGCTCTGGAGCGTGGACGAAGCTGAAAATCACTCAACATGTGTTTAATTACGAGCTTTGATAGTTAAACAAGACATCTATGAGTGTTCAAGTCTATTAGATGCAATTTTCCCCCAAATCTATACAATTAAATAGAAACTAGGTAAACAGGGATGTTGTGCAAATTCAACTAGAAGATAATGATCATTATTGTATCTTAGATACGCTAACACACAAGAAAACATCCAACCACCCTCGAATTATCCGTATATGCTTCCTGCATTTTCCAACCTGTTGTCCAGGCAACCCCGGTGACCTCTGCCACCCCCTCATTATGAGCAGTTGTTGTTGTGGTTGTTGTTGTCGTTGTTGTGGTAACCTCTCCTCACCGTGCTCTTGTGCGCAGGCTGAGAAGGTGCTGCTGGAGATGCAGGACCCCAAAGCAGGAGTCAAGTCACAGCCGCAGAGACTGGTTATCACAACAATACCCCACGCCATTACTGGTGAGGAGGACACACACACACACACACACACACACACACACGATGTTGATATTCTGCAGCCGGTTGAGTGATTTTTCCTGCACAGTCTCGCTGGAGGATCCCAGAGCTGCGGGCGCAAACTCAAGAGCTACAGATTTCCATCTCCATGACAACCCCCGCCGTCTCAGAGTCAGGAAAAGTAGGAGGATGATGATGATAGAGCGAGCTGGAGGAAAAAAAATAAATAAGAGAAAAACACAAAGAACGAAGGCGAGGAGGTGGAGGTGTAGGTGGAAGAGGAGGAGAGGAGAGGGAACCTAGACTTCTACGTCATCCAGGCAGCTGAAGGAAGGAAGGAAGCTCTCTTTGTTTTTATTTTATTTTTATTTCCCTTTCCTTTCCTTCACCCTCTCCTCTCCTCTCCTCTCCTCGTTCCATCCTTCCTTCTCCTCACATTAGCGGTAGCAGAGAGGGGTCTGGCATTTACAGGATCACACACACACACACTTACCTAACAACACACACTCAACCCTTTTTTCTTGTTCTCTGTCAGAGCACTGGCTGCGTATAAATATAGATATCACTTTACTTATCATTTGCCTCTTTTATCCTCAGGTGAAGACATCATCTCCTGGTTGGCAGACAGATTCAATATAGACGCAGAAGGTGAGAGATGAGGATGTAGATGGAAAATCTACTTTTAATGCAGCACATTGAAACTTTCTGAACCTTAAGACAGCAGCATTATTAAATATGTAATATATTACCAGTATTCAGCAGGAAACTTTTAAAACGTGAAGAATTTTGTAGCCCAACTCATTAATCACCACGTGTGGCTGCAGGGGGCGCTGTAGCTCAGTAACGGTTACAAAATCATTATGATGTCAGGTCTTAATCTTTGTCTCGTATGTTGTTTCGATTGGCCACAGTTGACTGTTGTTCAAATCTTTTGTCCTCAGAGGCGAGGAGTTTGGGCTCCATGCTGGTGGCGTTAGGATACATCTACCCTCTGCAAGACCACAAACGCTTAGTGATCAAACCTGATGCGTCGCTCTATCGCTTCCAGGTAAACACCATGCTTTCACATTTTGGGTGCAGCTGTGGCTCAGGGGAGAGAGCGGCTCTACACCTGGCTCCTCCGGTCCGCACGTCAAACTGTCCGTGGGCAAGACAGTGAATATGAATTGCTGTGACTTCCTTTTACCCTTTGTCCTTTTCAGACACCGTACTTCTGGCCCACGCAGCAGTGGCCTGTGGAGGACACGGATTACGGTGAGTGTGACCACGTTTTTTATTCTCAGGGCGTGTTATCATCACTCTCTTAACGCTTTCTTCATCTCCCCATGCTGAAGCAATCTACCTGGCGAAAAGAAACATACGGAAGAAAGGAATCCTGGAGCTGTACGAGCAGGTGAGAGCGACACCACGAGCGTCCCCGGGAGAAACTCACAATGTTGGAATTTTACTGATGCTCGGTTTTTATGCCCTCAGGAGCAGTACAACCGCCTGCACAAGTGGATGAATCACAAGTGGGATTTCATAGTGATGCAGGCTAAGGAACAGTACAGGTGGGTGTGAGAGAAACTCAGAGACGTCTCAGAGACGTCTCATGTTGTAGAGACCTAAATCTGTTGATGCAGTCACATTACAGGGACCTGTCTGTCCACTGGGGACACAATTCAAGTCCCTGTAATGTAAATGATTGGGTGAAGACATGTTAGAAGGTGAGTAAGGGTTCAGGATTAGGTAACTGTGTGTGAGTGTGTGTTTTCAGGGCTGCTAAGGAGAGGAAGAAACCAGACCGTGTGGTGTTTGAATGCCAGGAGAGAGCGTACTGGGTGGTTCATCGACCTCCGGTGAGACTCATCGACATAAAGTATTCCTCAGTCTAACCATCACAGCTGAATCTTTATCGATATCACCCTGCTCAGACTGCACAGCCAGCTTTTAAACAAAGTCTTAACCCTCAAAAAGCCCTTTGTAAGCGAGGACCCGTCAAAATGTCCTCCCCCCCGTCACGTCTAACAGTCAAACTGGTCCTCACAAAGCTACAAGTCCAAGCATACACACACACTCAGATAGTCATCAGCCTTGTACCGCACACACGGCGTCGTGTAGATAACAGAGAGGTCTGAAAATAAATTACACTCCACCTCTTAACTTCCCAGGGTATCTCATTATCTCTACCCATGATGCCTCATTACCATTACATGTCCAGTCAGAGGGAAAGGGCACGGCTGATTAATATTTCACAGTGCGAGGGAGGAGGTGGCGCGGCGGTTTGCACCTATCTGGAGTCCCCGGTAAAGTGGGCAGCTGCTCTCCAGACCTCCAGAGCTCCCACAGGACTCAGGGTCACTCCGTTGTCAAGTGCATTGTGGTCATTTGATGAAGTGCAGATGTGTTTTGGAATACGCTCCACTTACGCAAATATAAACTGGGACGATAAAGGCCCTAATGCGGGTCCTTGTTTAAAACAGTCTGAGACTCAGACATGAATTATTCAGGTCAGATTGTGTTAACGATAAAAACAACTGAGCTGTGGTTGTACACACGATGAGTAGTTTGAATTCTTGTTGGTTGTAGACAAAATATAATAAACCTGCCATGAGCAGTTTGTCATGTACAGACGCTGTTAATTGGCTGTGAGCCGAACTCATGACTTTAATTAAGTTATTAAAAGGAAGATTGTTTCCTGAGCAGTCAGACTATGATAATTGTATTGTGTGTGTAATATTTCCTGTTGGTGTGTGTGTGTGTGTGTGTGTGCAGCCGGGGACGGTCAGTGCCATGGACTACGGACTGGACAGACGAATAGATCCTAATGGAAACGAGGTAACAGGTGAGTCTCTGCATGCGAACATAAATCCTGTCAATCAGATTACAGAGTATGAGAGGATTTGATGCAGCTGCTTATCGTCCCTGTTCTCTCCCTGTCGGCTGTTTCAAACATTAATCCATCTTCTACTAAACTTAACCTCTTCTCTCCTCTCCTCTTCTGCAGGCATCATTTCCCACGCTTCATTTTCGTATCCAGACTTTTTGAACTGGTTATCAACACACACACACACACACACACACACACACACACACACACACACACACACACACACACACACACACACNACACACACACACACACACACACACACACACACACACACACACACACACACACACACACACACACACACACACACACACACACACACACACTGTTTGACAATGTCCCACTTTGTCTTTGCATATTTCTTTTTTTTATCTGTGATATGATTAATAATAATATTTGTTTCCCCCTCAGGCGAAGACACCAGACTTCTATGAGAGAATCGTGAGTGAGCTTTAATTTGAAACTGAATTATTAGTTGTGTCGACCGTGATCCGTGTCCACAGCCGTCATCTCTCTCCTGCCTCCTGTAGATGATCTTCACCCAGCAGTCCATCATGAGGCCCAGGGTGAAGTCATCCGTGTCCATCGGAGCGTGAGTTTAAATCCGTGTGATACAGTACCTGTGTGTTATGGTAGAAATACTATCAGGGGAGTTTTCACGTAGTTTTCCCTCTTTTCTTGCAGGTTGGTGAAATACTGCGCCACCTACAACAGCCACGACCCGTTCCTCTCCAAGTGTCTTCCCAGCAACCCCTGGATCACCGATGACATCACATACTGGACCCTGAACATGCCCAAGTGTGTCGGCTCAGAATCCCACAGTCACAGAGATTCAGCTTCTTTTAGAATAACTGTTTTTGAATGATTTTCTTCCTCTGTGGTTTTCAGTGTGGAAATCCCGAGTAAAATGCGCGTGGAGAGGTGGACGTTCAGCTTCGGAGAGCTGCTCTCAGACCCGAGAGGACGAGACGATTTCAGACTCTTCCTGAGGAAAGAATTCAGCGGTACGGCGGCTGATTGTAGAAATTTAATCGTCCTGCGATGTGAATAGCGTTAAGTGTGTTTCCTTTTATTTTCTACTTTGAACCTTTTTCAGGTGAGAACTTGGCATTCTGGGAAGGTTGTGAGGATCTGAAGTGGGGCGCTGCTGCGACGATGAGAGAGAAAGCAGAACAGATCTACAAGTAATGTTTTCATTTCTAGCTTGTGTATAATATATGGACGAATGTTCTTGATTACTTCATTAGCTGAGGACAGAAAACTTATCTGAACCTATTTTCATAATTGATTAATCAACGATCGTTTCAGTGATTATTCAAGTTAGAAAAGAAGGAAGAAAATAAAAAGAAATATTATCTGGTTGCAGTTGTGTTCGCAACAATTTGTGTTTATGTGTTTCCATAAACCTGGTGATCTCAGGGCCTTCCTGGCTCGTGGTGCACCGCGGTGGATCAACATCGATGGAAAGACGATGGAAGTCACGGTCAAGGGCCTGAAACACCCGCACAGATACGTCCTGGACCCAGCCCAGACTCACATCTACATGCTCATGAAGAAGGTCAGTGAACGCAGCACTGTGTAACGTTCCACAGGCTTGTACTCGTCGCTCACTGTCACGTTTGTGCACGTTTTGCAGGACTCGTTCGGGCGCTACTTGAAATCTCCGGTCTTTAAAGACACGTTGAAGAAGGCCGTCTGTCCTGAGGAGCACAAGTTCACGTGAGAGGCCACTTGTTGAACTTTTATCTTCTGTTTAAAACTATTGCACATCTGGAAAAGAAAGTCTTTACTGTTTTTTCATTTCCTTTGCTGCTCCATCTTATCCCCCCCATCTCTCTCCTCCGTACATGTTCATCTCCATCCTCCAGTGACGCTCAGCTGGAGCAGAATGCAAAGAACAGACGACCCAGTCTCAGCCCCATCGTCCTCCGGCAGCAGGAGCAGGAGCAGAGGGCCAAGATGGCGGCCAACGCCCCTGTTGACATCACACAGGTCATGAGCAAACTCAGCAAGCAGGGGAAGGAGGCGCCTCCTTGTCGTGCTCCTGTTAAGACCTGAACACAAACACGTCATGTGGTTTCTTTAAACACGTATGAACTTACCTCCATGTACAGGTCACGTCCAGGACACGGACCGTCTGTTACATGTCTGTCCACACACACACTGTAACTGTCTGTCATGTTGTTTCTCATGATGTGTTCATCGTCTGTAGTGTTCTGTAACGTGTTTCCTCCATCCTCCATCCTAACCATCAACAGCATCTCATGATCATGTGTTTGTCTCGATTTGTCATTAAATCACTGTCTCACTGTCTCAATGTCTCAACGTCTCATTGTTTTCATCGTCCCTTCAAGATGTCAGTGTGAGTTTCTTTCTTTCTCTCTTATTCAAAAACATATAAATACAAGCATCTACCATCATATTCAGGTCATGTATATGAAATGAATATATATACATACACCTGAGACAATAAGCTAATTAATCAATTAATGGAAACTTTCAGTGATGGATTAAATCACTTTTCAGGCAAAAATGTTGGTTCAAGCCTTTTAAATGTTGAATGTTAAACATTTTCTGCATCTCATTGTTTCGTTCATCCAGTTTAGTCAATACTTTGGGATATTCCAGTCATGCACTGAACTCCGGAGATTATCCGGAGTCTCTCCAGAGGACGTGTACGTGGAGAAAGTGCGGACATGTCTGAAAACTGCTTTAAAAAGCATCATCTGTCTATTTTCAACAGTTTGTGTGATTTTGCTCAGGAAATAGTTTTGGCTGCTGAACTCTGCCCTCTGACTCTTTCTCTGACCTCACAGCTTTGCCGCTACACCACTCCTGTCCCCCACCTTGCTGTCTACTCTGGTTTTATCGACTCCCCCTCTGCCAACGCCTCACCCTCCCTCCCTTTCCTGGCCCACACCCCCGCCTGCCCGTCCCCCATCAGCGTGGCCTTAGACAGCACCTCGGCCTCTGAGCGGCGAGTGGAGGCCAGTGAAGGAGAAAGAGGGGGGGACCCGGAGGCCCAAGCCCCCTCAGGTGGGAACGTGTCCAAGTCTCGAATGCCTCTGTCTCTGCGCCGCCTGCTGAAGCGGGGCTGCACCCCCTCCACCGTGTTCGCCAGCTTGTCGCCTAAATACCACTCAGCCGCCGGGGGAAGTAGCCGCATTCAGCCAATCAGCCCGGATCAGCCCAGTCAGGCTCCACCCAGACGGATTGGCAAGTGAGTGGCGGCCATTAACTGTCATGACCTACAACAACGTATTTACTGTGCAGTCAGAAAGAGGTTTCCTCTTTTTATTACTTTTCAAATGTGTTGAATTTAACTTTATATGTTAACTCTTAAGATTAAATTCTGACAAATTAAAGATGTTCTCATTTCTTACACATGTTTATTCCATTTGAACAGAATCGGTGTCAGACGTCTGTTTTATACAAAATCCTCTCTGCAACAGTTTTTTCCAGATTAAAGTGGATATTCCTCCGGAGTGCCGCATCTACCCCATCGAGTCTGAGGACGAGGAGGAGGAGAACAGGGGGGCCTCTCGGGGCGGAGTGGGAGCCAAAGAGATCATCTGCCCCTGGGAGAGCCTCACACCGCAGAACGGGACGGGCTAACAGGTTAAATCAGCGTGGAACAGACGCAGTGAGTCCATGTGAACAGGCTGGCGGCAGATTTTCTCCGTGTTCTGACAGAGATAAAAAGATCTCACACAGACCAGAGGGTGAAAATCTCAGTGTTTATTGTCCCAGTGTAAATGTGGTCACGTTCTCAGCACCGGGCCACAAACCACAACATAAATACCAAACAACAACGTAAGAACCGACACAGAACTGTCAGAGTGAGACACTTCAACTTACTGACTGTCCAAGCATTTCAGAGTTTACACAGAAAAAGTTTATTTCCTTGATAATATTTCGATATATTTGGTTGTATTTGTGTTTTTCGTTTTCTTTTTACTTACTTAAGTTTATGGTTAAACTGTAAAATATCAAACCTCAATTACTTAAAATTACAGTTACCACAGAAGTATTGACAATTTCTTGTATAAATATTGGCCAATATATCTGTATCATGAGTATTAAACATTCACTGCCTGTAGGTTTTAAAAGTCCCAGTTCCACGTCTGCTGTAGCAAAATCCTCCTCCGCTGTCGAACAATCACAAAATCACACAATCACACACTTTAGCAACGCAGGATCATTTCTAGAGTTTCAGAAATACTGAGGTTATGAGTCTTCCAGTACAACCACTCCTCTATAAACAAATGTTTGACAAGTCACCAGAGGAGGCTGTAAAAGTTTCTGATTTACTTCAAGCGTTTTTATCTTTTCATTTAACCTTTCGTGACTTTTCCTGAGATTTATATCTGCTTGTGACGGCCGACAGGCTGTTTCTTCACACAACCCAGAATATTCAGTAGTTCTGATAAAACAAAAGAAAAAACAGACACACACAAATTACACTTTGCATGTAATTTAAAAATGCAATGCCCCTCCTCAGGTCGTTAATATCCCCAAATTACCAAGAAATGACTGACGGCATGAACTCAGTGGGAGCAGTATGACTAAAGCAACAAAATACTGTGAATCACTTCCTCCCATCATCCACAGATGAATTAGAACATCCCGTGAACGCTGCCATCTTTGTGCCAATTAGGTCATTTGACATTTGTGCAGCCGTCACTTTGTCCATCTTTATGTTCAGTCTCTTGAATCACCTCACAAGCCTTCAGGCAGTTCAGTGTTTGATACTCACATGTTAAGGGAGGAGTATTACTTATCACCCGGATCTCTGCAGATGTGAGCACCAGATGTTTAGTCTCGCCACGAGGACGACAGAGTGTTAAAAACATCCAGGAGCCTCAGAACCTGAGCTGTAGCTTTCACATTCAAACCTCGTCTCTATTCACGAACAGTAGCCCCACAGCAGCCTTATCCACCTTCACCCCCCTGAGAGCTGTTTCCTTAAAACAGGGGAAATGTAGACGCAGACATTTCTGAGAATCACGACGACAAATGAGTAAGAGTATTATTTTTGTGATTGCCAAGGAGAGCGAATACATTGATGTTTACATTCTAGTTTGTGATAAGCCGAAGCAGATTTATACATATAGACTCTGCCTGTGCACATGCCTGCTAAGATTATAGACAATGTGTTTATATATTTGCTGAGTCAGTTTTATGAAGTGCAGAAGTGTTCTTGTGCTGCTAAATAGACTTAGATGCCTCATCCCTAATTTACCTCTTTACAACTTTGTATGTGAAACGACTGAACAGATGCATTTCAGGTCCAATGAGAGCAAGTCTTCATGAACGAGGAGCGACAGAGAGTAGTAGTTCTGTATTTGGCTCCACTGCTGTTTTGTAGCTGTTGTTTACTGCACTACCCTGAACGAGGTGTTGATATTCTTCTCACGTGCCCCCCCCGCATAGACGGTGTAGGAGGTGGTGGTGTGTGTGTGTGTGTGTGTGTGTGTGTGTGTGTGTGTGTGTGTGTGTGTTTGTGTGTGTGTGTCTCTGTGTGTGTGTGTTGGGGGGGGGGGTTACAATGTGAATTAACCGTTCGAATGTATTATCTTTACCATGTTTACAGATGCAAGAATGTGAAATATACCTTGAATTTGATGTATTTGATTTGTACATTCCATGGCTTGTGTCAAGTGCCTCAATAAATGATTGTGTCTTAACAAAAAATGTCACTTTCTTCATATTACATGTTGAGTTAAAGCTTAAAGGGCCAGTGCGCTCAAATTAACTGCAAACATTTCTTGTCAGTTGTGGACAAAAGCATCGATCACTCCGAAAAAACAAAAGGAATTGAAAGACGCACATCTTTGACCAGAAACATTGTTCAAGATAATCCAAACACCTTATCAAGAGTTTCTCTGGTCTGGATAGTAATTAAGCTGCAGTTCTTTTTTTTTAAAAGCCTGTATTGTTTCAGTATTGTTTCAACATTGAGACACAATTTCAAGTATTTTAATGGCTGCAAAGCAAATTTTTAATTTTCTCTTCTCTGAACTAGGCCTTTAATATGAGTCTATTCTCTCTAAGTGCCCCAATTAAAAACACAAATCCAATCCTACTACTAATATTATTAAGCAAATGGTCATTGGTCAACATAATTTAATCATGGTGAGATTTCAGGTTTCATTTATTAAGATTTGACATGGCTGGAAAAAAACAACAGCAATAAAAGTTTTGAACTGTGAATCCTGAAACGTGTCAATGCTAACAGACCTTCTCACAATAAACAGGAAACGAAACATTTAATTAAAACCAAACACCTTATACAACTTCTAATCATAATAATGATAATGATAGTATTACTTAATATTTATGTGGAAACTCACTTTGGGTGGATTAAATTTAAATCAACTCTTATGAAATAGTTTTTCTGATGTATAAATAAATCCATGACTCTCCAGCTTCAGTAGGTGTGATGACAGCAAACAGCCACTAGGTGGTGATATCGCAATGGCAAGTAGAGACAGGTGCAACTACTGTGAACTGTGTTCTAAGATGTTTAATGGGAATGTAACATCCAGGCACGTGACAGTTCACTGAAAGCTTTAAAATATAACAAAATAAACTACATTTTCCGTTTATTCTAATATTTAATTTTTCAACTGAGGAAACTGGAAGCAGAGTTCAGGTTCCTCATCTAATTTCCCAACGGACGAAGAACGGAGGTCACATTTTTGCTGAAGGTATAAAGCACCATGTGACGATCTGATATCCGAACAGATCACTGAGACTTTACGCAGATAAAAGCAACGTCTCTGAACTTGTTGTCAACACCATCTCACGTCCCACCGACTGATCTGAGGTTAGTGAACTGAGGCTGGAGCGCAGCTTTGATCTGTCTGGGTGTTTTCTTTTTCTTTGGTTTCTCTGAATAGAAACGTCCGATCGTTATCTCACAATATCCACACAGGGACGTCCACACGCAGTCCATTCATACATTAGCTTAGCGAGGAGCAGGGAATTTATGCAACACACTTAACATTCATCTGAGGTGTGCATATATTAAAATATATTTGTGTGGGAGCATCTTTTAATGAAGCTCTTGGTGTTTGGTGTTACACCTGAATGAGTTTCTCAGAGGCCGAAAATCTACTTGGTGAATGGCTTTAATGTCTTTTTTCTTTTCCTGACATGGAGCCTTTGAATGAATATGTACAGATTTTCTTCGTCATTCGTTTTTCGTTGATTTCCCTCCCTGTGTACAGCAGAAATCCAAAATTGTAAACAGGAAATTGAAGCCGCTATTTAGAAATGATCAGATAATTTGTTTTAAATTAACATCTGAAAGATACGGTTTCAAATTCACTCCAAGGTTCAAAGAAATCCACTTATTTACCTTTTTATCAGGAGCTGATGAAAGCTAACCAAACTTATTTAATCGTGTATTACATGTATAAGGACCAGAGACCGTAAAGATGGACAACATGACTACTCCTTAAACTTGATGCCAAAGCGCTTTGATCGCCACCTGGTGGCTGGCTGCAGTGTGGTTTGTAAATCCTACCTCCTCCATGTCGCTGGTAGGGACATGAACTGAACTAAACCGTAAAAGTGCACATTCAATACATTTCTCTCAAAGAGCGGTTCTGTCATTTTAGATAGTTCTTACCACATGCTCATTTTCCTGGTAAATGTGTTTTAATTAGTTATTTGAAGCTATAAAAACGAGGTGAAGCGTCACGATTGACAGCTGAGACTGACCCGTGATTGGTCGACAAGGGAATCAACGAGACTTCGCAATCGCGGCTTCGTCCCCGGATCTCTACTGTGCAGACGCTGACCTCGAGTGCACAGGATACGTCTTTTCGTAACTTGGGAAAACAGCAGACAATGGTGGATGACTTTAGTTATAAAGTTTCCTGCATTTGATTTGAGTCAAACACGAGTGGAGCCATTTCCTCTTTGTCTGATTTGAAAGTAAAACCAGTCGAGCATTAACAGGAAAGTGAAACAATGTGTGTGTTTGCTTAACAAACAAACGCATATCCACACAGACACAGTGACACCTTGCACACACACACACACACAGATAGTCTTTGCAGACATAAACATGTGTCGGCCGCTGTGTGTGACCTCGCCGTGACAAGATGAATGACCAAATCAGAAGCGTAATGAAACGCTGCACATTCGCCTGCTGCTGCTTCCCCGTGTATTCATGTGTGTGTGTGTGGGCGCCCAGGACCTCAATCAGAATCACAGGTGACCTGGCGTCTCGCTGAGCCTCCTAGGTTTGACAAAAGAAGATAATTACCAGTGACCGACGACCCCCCCCCCAGCTCGTAAAATCAACCGGGGAGTGAGAGCGAGTGATGGGGAAGAGGGGAAATGACCTTGAAACTTCGACTATATCCAGGTCAACTTTTATGGCCTTTTCCCATTTACCTCTGTTAGCCTTTAACCCCTCACGCCATCATGTCCTCCTTTAATTCTTCCTGTGAACCTTTGAGACGCTCATGATCTGAATGATACTCAACTCAGATATCAACCCGTCCCAATACACACACACACCGCCACACCTCCACTAGTGAAATGCAGTTTACGTAGCATTGATCCTGTTTATCATAACTCTGAGGTGCCGTTTCCAGAGAACATAAACAGAGAACATTTTTTAGAGTTGAGATTTCTGAAGATGTTTGAAAATCTTCTTCAGCTGAAACATCTTTAAACAACCTCGACCAAGTGTAACGACCTCAGGCACGAAAACTGGTGGACTCAAATGCACGACTCAGACAAGACGTGGATTTAACGAAAAGGTTTATTTTCAGTCACTAAAGGCGCTCACAAAGAGGATAACAAAAGAAAGCAGCAAAACAAAACTTAGAGATAAACAAGAATACTAAACATGAATGAAGCGAATTCCTGGCTTGGCAAAATCTCTCACTTGACTTGGGGACAGAACAAGACGAACTGTCACAGGACAAAGAGAGACGAGGACTCTTTATACAAGAGGAAGTAGGAAACAGGTGAAACCAATCAGGGGCGGGGAAGACGATCACGAAGGCGGGAAATCACACAAAGGGAGGAAGTCAGGGTCTGAAATGAGAGGGAAAAGGTGAGTACCAAAATAAAACAGGAAGTGCATGACGAGACAAGACATGAGCGAAGTTTAACTTAACACCTCGTGCTCCCAAACACACAAGACTGGACATGAACTAACACAAACATGGTTTACTTAAAACATAGACATGAATAAACTTAACATAACTGACGAGACATAGCACCAAGTCCATTTGTGTTTGTTAGCAATTTCACAAACTCAAGCTGTGTCCTCACTAGAGACACGAGAGCACTGGCTGATTGGTCAAACACTTAAGATGATTAAAATGTCTTCACAAGATTCCTCTTATGGTCGCAAAACAAAAATGAGTTTTCGGTGAATGAATAAACAGAAGAGAGACCTGATCTGACCCGAGGATAATAGAATCTGATCCAAAATCATAAAGAGCAGCTATATAATAATAATAATGTCCCAAATATCCATTTTAGTCGTTGAGACTTACTTTAAAAAATACTGTGTTAATAAAGTTCAAAGACTCTTTTATTGAAGTAATTAAAAATCTTATTTTCACGTTCTGCACCAACAGTAAAACATTGTGCAGCCAACTGAACAACAGTTAAAGTTGTGAGTTGTGGCTACACATATAAAACTTTCTGTCAGCGTGATCAGAGTAATACTGATGCTCAGTATCGTCCACAGATCCATTATGAAACATTGACACACGTGTGAGTAAAACAAACTGACCCATTTAGACTGAGTGTGACTTGGAACCAGTTCAGCTCAGGTCCTGGGTCGGTCCTTCAGAACAGAGCGGACCTGTGGAGCCTTGTGTTCACAGTGATTGATTACATGGACAAACCATGACGACCTGAACCTGATTCTACTATGTGGAGCTTTCTATTCGACTCTACCTGGGAGCTAAACTAAACTAACTAAACATTGAGACACTAAAATACTTGGGAAAATGTTGAATTACGTTATAAATGAAGTGAGAAATCTACAGAAACTTCTTTTTGCAACAGGTGGAGTTGCCCTCTGCTGGTCATTCGAGGTATGTTTCTGCCTCTGATTCCATTTTTTGGGTAAGACGTTGCAAATGATGATCCCCTGAACACAAACCTAACCATCCACCCGGAGGAGGTTTTACTAAAGGGCACCTGACAGCTCCCCACAGACGCACCCTGAGTCACAGAGATAGAAACCCTGAGAGGTTTCACCATGTCACCGAGCACCTGAGGAGCGTGCTGGTGGGAAAATTATGCAAACTTTGAGAAGATGAGCAAACGTGACCTTTTCTCCACATTTTCTCCTTTTCCCTCCTGCGTGTTGTGGCCTTTAACCCTCACACACGTCCTTCAATTCTTCCTCTCTTCCTTTGGGCCTTTGCTCATT